CATTTTCGCCGTGCATTCAATCACCGAATTCCGCCGACTGATGATCGGGAATTTGGAACCGGCGGCAGAGCGCTGTCTACTCCACCTTCGTCGGCCCCACGCTGGTTGTGATAAAGCCGGACAGGGAGCAGAAGCTGAATGAGCTGCAGACCGTCACGCTGCGCCTGCCGGAAGACATCGAGCGCATGAAGAGCCAAAAGAAGCGTGACAACAGATTCCAGGAGAAGTGAGGGCCGGCACCCACTCAGACAAATGCCCCGTTGGTCCACTGACGTGGCGGCAGTGACAAATGTACTGCGTACTGCCGCTACGAAGTACTGCATCAGCAGAATGCCGCGTGGACTGCAAAGGCGCAGCATGTATTGCCGAAACTCTGTGCGTGAGTTAAAACACACCATGCAGTGCAGAACAAACTGCGTGGAACGCACTGCGTCCCTAAACTGCTGCGTGCACCAAAGCCCAGCGTGATGCTAAAACACAATGTACATAATACGTACGCGTTTTGTCACCACAGTACATTGCACCCAGGCAAACCGAACATAAGAAAGACAACTTGGCAGATCGCGCGTCATTCGCACAGCTCATGGCACGTATTGTCGCATCCCCAACGTGTGACACGTTTTCGATTTGCCACATGCTCATTGATATTCGCGCTTGTGCCTCATTCCGTCTTTCCCACGTCGCTTTGCGATATGCGGTTCCATCCCTCAGGTTGGAGCTCCTCGACGACGCGGTGTGCACCCATAACTCGGTGGAGGTCGCGTGGCTGCCACCCACGAAGAACGTCGATCGGGTCGACCGCTACAAGTTGATGATGGCCACGGCAACGGGACTGGTGAAAGACGTTTGCCAGGTGTGCGCCCATCTGCTGACTCGCAGTCTCACCCCCCACCTGAAGATAAACTTGCACTCGACAATCCGTCCAACAGACGATTTGAAATTTCAACCTTTGCATGCTGTTAAAACCTGGAGCCTTCAGTGGCTGCAGATTGTTCGAAATGCAATTCTGTTGATCCAGTTCGTTCCACCCTTCAGCCTTGATGTACTTCAATCCGCTTGAATCCAGGGCAAGGCGCTTAGTCATCGGGTCGTCGGCCTCAAGCCCAACACGGAGTACATCTTCTGCGTCAAGGCCACCTACGACGACGGCTCGTTCATCTGGAGCGAGTCCAAATCCTTCCACACGCGAATCGTGGCCCACGGCCGCAAGTCACCGCTTTCTCCACAGCCCATCGAGGTGGTATAGATCGCCCAGCGGCCACAGCAATGGGCAGTGTTGCCGCCACTCATGCTCGCTAACGTACTGAACAAAGGAGGCAATGCTTGTATTGCTAAGTATGGGGCACAAGAACCCACGCTTGCATTCTCAAATGCTGGGCTAGCAGCAAGTTTATCAGAATGGGTGATGCACAGTTGTCCAAGGGACCTGCAGGTGGTTCCTTCTGCCTGGGATCACAGTGTATTTCCGATGGGCGATATGTGCGTGCAGCTTGAGAGCTGTGTCTGCAAGAACACACTTGTGAGCCGTGCTTATGATTTTTTGGGAGGCAGCCGCGCAGCGATGCAAGCAAAATCGTAGGCGTCTTTGCCCTTGTTTGAAAGATGAAATGTCATCCTCGAACTGTTGTGTCCATTGAAGTGCGGGTTGGCAGCAGGGTGCATCCGCTGGAAGGGCATCCAGCCGTTTGAAATATGTTCTGCTACAGAGTGCCATGGCAGGTTGTTGGGGACTTGAAACTTCAGGCAAGTGGGAAAGGTGCCAGTAAAAGAGCCATGAGAATTGTAGACTGGTGCCTTGGGGGAATCGGGGAAGTCGCATTTACAAACCAACTACAACATCTTCATTGAGTGCTGCAAAATTGGACCAATCCACCACTCTGTAAGGTGACGACAGCAGGATTTCGAGGAGGTCTTGTTTGGAGGAAGGTGCCTACCGATGGATAGATCGTGGCGCACATGGGGATGGCACAGCGATCACTGTGTCTTTATGAAAGTCTGCTCTTGGCAAAGCTGATATCAATGCATGCATTATCATGTACTACTTATTCCATCTATTGCACTACCCACTACCCACTACTTACTGTACTACCTGTTGCAATGCACTAGCACCACATCAACTGACACACAATAGCAACTTAGAACTGGGGCATAAGGCATACTGATTCTGCACTGAATTGTGTGGGAAACCAATGACCCACTGCTGTGTGCAAACAGGGCCTGTCCACCTCACAGATTACATTGGGCATAATGTGTACAGCATGGGAAAATATCAGAACAAAGGGCCCTTTTGTCCTTATGTTCAGAGCCACATCTCTCTCCAGGAACATGCACAGTTCAACAGTGCAACTCTTGGTAATTGGCTTTTGGTGTGTACTGTTGTTGTACATTGATGTACCACAATCATTCAACCTATGCTAAAATTGAACGTGCTGGACTGATGATAAATTTGAGCAGGTGGCACTGTGTCTCCTGAATACTGAGTTGGCATCCAGTGTGTTTGTTAGGAATGATCGCCAACTCACCACACCATCAATTTCCACTTGACAAATATCTGTGTGTGAGCGAGCAGGGGTGAACAAGTAGTCTGCAAGAAACGTGGCAGATAGAATTCCGCAGGCCTGTCATCTTTTGCCTGGTTCAGCAGGGTTGACATGTCTGCTGCTTTGCAAGGAATGACAAGAAAACCAACGCCAGTTGCAGCAAGAACAATGCCCAAAGTACTGCAATAATCCTCTGTGGTCAAAGAACCCTCGAATCCTGCGGCATTGGAAGCAAAGGGCGGCCATTGGCCAAGATGTCGGTCTGCAGTGTTGAATTAGACGTCGACTATCTGTTCCTTTGCAATACTACCTGCATTCTTGCACGGCATGGCCTTGCTGGGATACCTCAGCAACCAACATTTTGGATCCAAAGAGCCTTCCGCATTGCCTCAATAGAACCACTGCCCAATAGGCGCAACTGAATGGAATCCAGACACTGTATGCAGCTACTCGGACCCTGTCGCGAGCACGCTCACACGAGGACGAGGAGAATATCGTTCTCCCCACCTTGCCGATGGCGCGTCGGCTTATCGCAGCATCCTCAGAACAGAATATCGCAGACGAGGAACAGGAGACAAAGTATGTACGCTACAACGGCGCACAGAACCGAGCGAAGCGAGGGGCCAGGGCTGATGCGCAACCCCGAGCGGCGCACGGGAGTGCAGCCGGCCCATCGCCTGGCCTCGGTTAGCCCTCTCAAGCTGCGGCGCCGCCCCAAGGTCGAACAAACAGCAGAAAGCATGAATCACAGCACACGGATTTCAGGGGAGTCGGTGATGCCGCCAAAATGTCGTCGCTTTGAAGGTGCAAAGTCGCGCGTTCCTGGCATCACGCGGAAACCCGTGCCACAGCCGGAGCCCCGTGTGCTCCCCAAAGCCAACCAGCGTCGAGTGCGGCCCAACCTGCGACCTGAGTGGCGATCCTCGTCCACCCCGAATGCAACGCTGCGGTGGCATCCGAAAGGAGCGACTCACCGCTGGTAGACCTCTGGCGTCCTTCCTGCAAGGAGCGACGCCCCAAGCCGCCAGTGTCCCCCTCCCCGCCCCGAGGCCTGCAGCGGCAGCGGCCACAGGGAGACACACAGCCCCATCCCCCAACAAGCCGGTCACACGCGACGAATTTCAAGTGCTGGGAAATTGCTTCAGCACAGTTTTTTACTCCAAAAGGGCGGCGTGAGGCCATTAAAGCCCATTTCTGTGCCCGAATTTCGAATAACTAGGCTGCCTGCGAGCAGACACACAGTGAGGCATGCACAGGGCGGCACGCCCCCGGCGCAGCCCACAAGCGCCGAGCGCCGCGCACGCGCAGGCAACAAAGGACTCTCCCGCCTGCCCCTGAGCCTGCGGCGGGAGAGATGGCGAAGGTGGGCCCGGCGGGACCGCCCGCTGACCGTGCCGGCGCGCGCCTCGGCCCGAGCGGTTGGCCGGCGCCGCATCCCCAGGCGTGCCTCGAGCGCCAATGCCGCTCGATCCCCGCCACGCGAAGCGCCATGTTGAGCAAAGGCGTGAGTCTTGGGACGGGTGTTTGAGTAGCGGCCGGTCTGCACCGCTCGCGGTGTTGGAAATGCCGATTCGGTTGTTTTGCCGTGCGCTTGCCTTTGCCTGATTTGGGTGCGTTGCTCGGCGCGTGCAGATTTCTGCCGACGAGGTGTTCTTTCTGGTGCTGCATTACCTGCGGGGGGGGCCATGTGTGGATGCCGCGGCGGCGTTGGAGCGGGAGGCGGAGGTGATGGGCCTGCTGCCGGCCTGGGTGGACCACGAAGGTGCGGCGCCCACCACCCCGGGCGCGCATCCCGGGGCCCAGACAGGCCCCGGCGACGTGGCTCGAATTTTTTCGAAGGAGCGAGCGCCGCGGGCGAGGGGGGGAAATGATGCGGCAGGGTGTGTGTGGGGGGTGTTTGTGTGGGGCGGCGCGTTTTGCTGAGCATTTTGGTTGCCGCTGCGGGGGAGTGGCTGGGTGGGGATGTGGTGAAGAAGGTGATTCTGGCACATTTGGGTGGGTGGGGTGGGGGGTGGGGGCCGGCGGGGAGGGGCGGTAGTTGGGGAGTGGGGTGGGCCGCGGGCCGCGGGCTGGTTTGAATTTCGAGACGGGGTTGGTGGGCGATGTGGCGGGCGGCTGGCCTGGCGCGCCGGGGATGGCGCCGCGCGGATGTTTGCTCGTGTGCGTTGGGCGTCCGTTGCTTGCGCGAGGCTGTCTTGGCGAGCTGGGTACCTGGAAGGAATATTTGGGCCGGGGCGGAGATCGGGAGGGAAGCCGGGGGGGAGCGGCCCGCCCGGCCGGCTTCAGCCCACGAGGCGGCCGTTGGCGCTGGCGTCCGTCCGGCGGGATCGATCTCCGGCGCCTGGTTCGGCGAGCTCGGTCTTTGGAGCGAGTCTGACGCCGTTTTGCCCGGTTTTTCCATCGGGCGCAGGGGCGGAGGGCCGGCCGAGTTACGAGCAGCTGGCGGCGGCGATGCGCCACATGCCCCACGGCGCGCTGGGCGAGCTGCTGGCGGAGGCGCAGGCGCGGCACGCGAGGGACGGGGGGCCCGGCGCGCAGGTGGGTGGGCGGGGGGCCGAGCAGGGGGGGAGGGGCGTGCGTGGGAGGGATGGGGAATGGGGTGGATGGGCCGTCCGCCGGGTGGCTGTGCCCGCATGCCGGGCGGGGGAACCAAGGGCTTAGTCAGGCTGGGAGTGAGGGGCAGTTGCCATTTCGTCGTGGGTTGGGGGGGAAGGGGGGGGGGGGGTGCTTTGTTGTGGGAATGAGTGTGGTGCACTGAAGAGGGCGGAGGGAAGGGGCGGGCGGCGTGGGTCGGTGTTCGCGTCACCCTGTTTCCGTCTGGCTGGAATGCTGCGCTGGCTTCCCTCTGGCTGCAGCTGTCGTAATCTGTTGACGTATGCCACGTTCTTCAAACCTTTGGCAATGTAATTCATTCGCCTGCCGCATGCGAGCTGAAGGCCAGGAAAGGGATGGAGACAGCTGCTGTGCTTGGATGTGCGCATTCGCCCAACTTCCCTTCAGATGCTACTTTGCTTTTGGAGCCTCCGTGAGCCTTGTGTCAGAGTAGAATATGGATGTTGCCCTACCACCACAGGAACTTGTCCCAATTCACGCCCCTCACGCTCTTTCGCGGGCAGTTTTTTCAAACTCGATACTAGTTGACTGGCTCTTCTCTATCCTGTTCATTTTGTCTCAACTGGCAGTTTTGATTCTTTTTGACTGAATGCACAAAAACACTGAACTGTTGTCTGCTCCGATTCTCCCTTTTGTCTGCATTGCAATTCGCCTTTGATCGATTGTATCTTGTGTTCTGAAGCCATCTCACGATCATCTGAAACAGTCGATGTTGGAACTGCATGTTGCCAGAACGTCGCAATTCCAATTCATCCACACAATTCAACAGCGATTTGCCTGTGCTTATTCGCCATTGACCCATATCGTCATCTGCTCTCATCCGGTTGTTTATCGATTGACTGATTCTTATCTTCTTGGCTGCTCAATTCCCCTTGCGATGCAACATCCTTTGATCGGATGTCTCCATGTTCTGGCTGCCCTTTCTTCCCAGGAAGGGTTCCTCTGTCGATCACACCTCTATGTATTTCGTGTTTGGCCTCTGCCTTGCGGGATGGAGCAAACACTTATTATGAAGCACACAGCTCAGATGTATTTGTCTCTAAGTAGATGCTGCATTCACTTCCTTAGTGCGCTTTTCTCCCACACCCTGTCTGCAATCAGTCGATAACAAACTCTCTTTCTTCCCATGATATTATTCGCCTGCTGATCGATGCTGCCCTCCCCCCAGGGGTTGAGCTCCCTCCTTGGGGCGGGCTCACTCAGCATGGTCCCCTCCATCCGGGCAGCCCTGTCCGCTGGCTCCCTGGCCCTGCCAGCCCCTGGCACGCAGCCCAACACCTTGCAGCGCCTGCTGCAGCGGGAAGGGGGCCTGAGGCCCCGCCACAACAGCCGTCTAGGCCTGCTGCCGCCCAGTGTGCCACTGGGCCACTGGGCCCACCAAAAGACGATCCGGGGACACAGGTTCGCCGTGTACTGCGTGACGATGGACCCTGGGGGACGGTACGTCATCACAGGATCGGATGACGGTCTTGTGAAGGTGAGGGAACTTGTACTCTCTTTTTTGGCTTGTCATGAGCCCAAGTCGACTTGCGCATCAGGTATTGTGCAGGAACAGTTGAGGTTTGTGATAGTTGTCGTTAGTGATAGTAGCTTAATAGTGACGCTGTAATTTGTACAAGCAGAACAAACTGTGGTGACGGGCATGGTTTGACAACATTGTTCAACGCGACAGTATAGTGAGTGGGCACTCTTGGCTGTTACATTTATATTGTCCAACATCTGCCATGCAAGAAAAGCAAGGATTTGGTGGTGGTGGTGGCTCGCTCGTCTCCCTGTCCTCAACGCCTTTCCCTGATTGGCTTGTTGTATTTTGCTTGCTGATTGATGTATCTGTGCCATACTAGATTGTCTTATCATGTGAAACGATTTAAAAAATTGGTCAATTATTTATTTGGTTTGTTTTTGAATGGATCTTGCCACTTGTGTTGTTTTCTTGTCTTAATCTTTTTATAATGTTGAATTTGTTAGAATTGTTGCCTTTCCACATTCTTGTATGTTGATTTTGCCATACTTTTATTTCAGTGCATTCCTTCATGGTGGAATGTTGCCCCAGAGTGGATCTCGTTCTTTGTGGGATCCCAACAAAGAATATGAAATCACTTTTCAGACACTGCTCTGGTTTTGACAATGCTATCTTCATTTAAACATCCTGCAACAGCATGGCTGTCAAATGGCCCCTTTCTGGTTCTTACATGGATTTGGATGACCTGAAGGTTGGGCTGAATGAGAGCTGGTGGACTACAAGCATCCACTTTATCACTGTGCAACCCTAGTTTGCCTGTTGCCTGGTCTGCAAGATTCAGGAAAAGTTCTGAAGCGCTGGCACACTCGATGCCAGAAGTTGCAGACAGGAACTGCAGGAAACTGGAAACACTTCCAGATTGGGAGTGTGTTCATCCAGGATCATAGGACACTGTACAGACGCTGGTGGTTTTTTTGCGAGCCTGTCTCTGTCTGCAAGGTGCAAGTATGTGTTTGTCAGAGTTTATTGGTAGATTCCACACCTGAAATCCAGCTGCCCTCCATATGCTCGCATGCTGTTCTGACCTGACCCTCTGTGTGCAGATCTGGTCTGTGAGGATTGGCCTCCTGCGGAAGACCTGCAGAGGCCACCAGGGAGAAATCACAGACCTTACTGTCAGCTGCGATGGCAAGGTGGTTGCGTCATCATCAAATGACTCAGTTATCCGGGTCTGGAGCCTTGAGGTGAGTGACTGCTGCTGGGGTGTGACAACTGATTTGTGAAGGTTTGTTGAAAAAGCGCACTTTTGTGCATTGTAATTCAGTGGGCACAGTTCCCCATTGACAGCAAATGTGTTTGATTTTTGGCATCATCGTGTTTTAGCATTTGTGCTGTGCTTTTGGGCCAAATGCTGTAGGCTGATAGGCAGCACAATAACTTGGGTTTGGGAATTTGGGTGCACAAGCTGTGAAGCTAATTTGGACTTCAGAATGCAGCAGAAAACAATTGCATGCGCAGCAATGATAGGATGTCACAAAATGTGGCTCCCTGTCGATTGCCCTTTGATGCCCTGATGTTGAAATGACTGAGGTTCATGGAGTTGTTGCTGTTCTGAGAAGTGTCAACACCCTGTTTCATTCGCAATCACTAGTTGGTGTGCTGATCATGGCAGCATTTGCTGTAGTCAGCTGTAGGATGGGGTCAATGGGAACAAGAGCAGTTCAGGGACAGCTGCTCATGTGTGTGCCCAACGCATGGCTTAGCATAGTCAGTGCAAGGGCAGTTATATGTCACATTCTTGACAAATCCGCCTACTTCACTCTGGACTCCACCAATGGAAGGCAACACTCCAGTCGCTGCGGTGCTCTGATCTTGGCAACTGGTCAATCTTCTTTCAAAGAACGTCATCAGATGATTGAAAGCGATGAAAACAGCAGCCGCTCGAAATTGGCAAATGGTGTTGACCAGCTACACTGGCATTCAGGATGGCTCCCTTGGAAGGCCCGTCACGTCCCTGAAGGGTCACCATGCTGCAGTGACCTACCTGGGTTTTCACCCCAAGGTCCCTCAGGCGCTGGTGAGCACATCTTACGATGGCAGCTGCCGTCTGTGGGATGCTGCTGGCAATGCTGCCCCACAGATCGTCCTGAATCCAGATGATTGCTTTGGCGATGGGAACAACAGGTGATGTTTTTCACTTTTCATCTTTGTCGGTTGCTCTTCCTGGGCTTTGTGGCATTCGTCTTCTGTCTTCTGCTTTCGCTTCCCTATCTTGTGTGCCACATGCCATGACCAGCATGTCAATATCCATATTGACTGTGAGGGCACAGGCATTCATGCAGTGATTGTGCCTTCCTTTGATGTGCTTGCTCTCTGGCAGGTAAGGGGAGGTTCAGTGGGTGGTTGAAATTGGGTCTATTTCTTGCTCGCCGTTGTGGATGCTGCCGCTGTTCATCGAAAATTGATTTCTTGTCATTAGGCCAGTGCTCAAGCAGTTTTGACAGTGTGTGCTGATGAACTGAGTGGTTACACTGTTGTTTGATCGACAAATACAGCCTGCTGAAAGAAATGCGTTCAGATTGCCTGCATCTTCTCACTCAGAAGACAATTATGTGCTCTTAAGCTTCCAAATTTTGTTGTTCCTTGCTGCCGACTGAAACGCCTGTTTGTGATTCCACGCAATCCCAGTCAACGTGAAAATTGTCCAAGGCATTGTATATTGTGGTCACTGTGCTCATGAGTGGATGAAAGAACGCAGTGAGGAATATTGATGTCAGATGACATGGTGGGGACAACAGGTCTGTGGTCGTGGTCACCAATGCTGTTGAAGAAGAGCTGGATGAGGACTTGGGTGAGGAGAGAGCTGAGGAGGCTGCTGCCCCAACGCCACGTGTGGTGCCAGTGGCAGAGGCAGGTCCATCGACTGCACCATTTGGCTCTACGGCCCAGGGACCAAGGACAAGGGCAGCAGCTGCAGCAGAGGCAGCCTCGGTTGTGGCCCAGAGGGCCCAGAGGAGGCAGCAGGCACACCACCAGAGCACAAGTGGGGTGAGAATTCCAAATACTTTGCAAACTACCATTCCATGCTGTTCATGGCGTGAAGCTTACCTCAATGTGCTAATAGTTACCATTTCAGCATTGCTATGGATCTTTTTGAGCAAACATAGTTAATGGGGGTATGGTAATATGCCTTTACTTACCAGGGATCTGCCAGCACGATGATGGGTGGGAGTGGCATGCTTCTGAATGCAGCCAGGCTTGGAGCACTGCTGGCTTTTGGTCGGATTTGCTTGAGCCTCACATCGCACATCGTACTAGTATTACATTTCAGTACCTATTTGCCACTTTTGCCAACATGCCATAACATGTGAATAAATTTTGCCAAGCATATGCTTAGCACTGGATGACTGCCCCACAGGAGCAACTGCTGTGCTGCGCCTTCAGCCCATGCGGCAGCCTTATTGTGGCAGGTGGCAATCGTGGCAAGACCTACATGTGGTCATGGCAGGTGTGGGACAGGGAATCCTCTGGTCACTGCAAATTGGATTCCTGAATGTTGACTGATACTGCCTTGTGGGCTAAACAGTGTCTCAGTGGGCCCAAGAAGTGAAAACATGGTGCTTGTGCATGCTTGAGTGGTGTAAATGTGGCCAACAGGGATCAACATCAAAGGGACTTGTGCCAATGCTGTAACTGTGAGCTGTGCATTTGGTTAAAGTCATGTATTCTGTGAGGAGTTGTGCAAAAGTGCTGTGGCTGCATGTGTTGACAGACATGCAATCTCTGAGTACTCACACACAACAGAGAGGAGGCAGTGCTTTGGTGCAAGTTTGGTTGTGTGTGATCAATCTTCAGTGCTGCACAGAGCTGTGCTTTGTTAGACAAATACGGAGCAACTGAGCACTAGCACAGCAGGACAGAGAACATGCTTGGTGGCATGTTTGACATCATGTTCATAGTGCCTAAGCAGTGAATGCTTGGTACTTAGAACAGCACAGTTGATACACAGTGTGATTTGTTGCTGGCAGGTGCTGCCAAACCCGGGGAGACGAGGGCCTCGCACGCGCGAGCAGGCAGCTGCTGGCATCCCTGAAGCGCAGTGCGATGGGCCACTGGCACCGCCACAATGGCCAGAGCCCACGGAGCTCTGCATCCTGCATGGACACGAGAAGGACATCTCACTGGTGCAGTTTAGTCATCAGGGCGCAGAGCTGGCCACCGCCTCCAAGGATGGCACTGTGAGGGTGAGGACTGGTTTCATGTTCAGGCTGGGCAATGCTGTGGAATGTAATATCGAACCATAAGCAGCGCACTGAAGAATGTGTTGTGGAGTGAAATAGAATGTAGAACCTGTGAGAATGGAGTAGCGACCCAGCCCCGTGCTAATTATCAGTGGAACATTCACAAGGGCTGACAAGACGTGTCAACGACTGACAGCGTCAGGGTGCTTGGTTTTTTATGGAGTTCTACAGACAACAATGCCAAGTAATGAGATATGATGGAACTCTGAATGTTAGTAATGACTCATACCAGTATGTATACCATTATGTGCCTTGTAATACTGGCATCAATTGTGCAGCATTGAAGTAGTATTGTACAATGCAGGTAGAGCGTTGGGCCAGATTGCACTTTATCTGGTCACACAGTATGCATTGCACATTCATGCAGGTCATGTGCTTTTGTTGTCCTCTTGTCCTCCTTGCTGTCCTTTCTGGCCAGCGTCTAACTGGTCGTTGTCATGTCATACAGCTGTGGCACCAAGTGCGGAGGATACGTTCTCCTGCCTCTGTGTTTTGCTTTCTTTCACACTGTGCATTACTCTCCACTCATGCAGTCCTGTTGTACATGCATGCTGTGCACATTGTGTGCCCTGCATCTTCTATTGTCTATCCTGTTCTTTCTGGTCTTGACCTCCCTCCACACCCATTATAGAGAAGAGCATTTGCTTCTGCAGCATGGCTTCATAGCATATTGTGGATCGCACTCTCGTACCGTTCTGTTTTTCTTTGGCTCGCATTCTTGTGTGGACACCAGCCCACTGGCTGCTTCTGTGGTGCCCAGTTGTGGCACCCAGTGAAGAGGAGGACATCTTATTCCCGGCCCCCCACTTGGGCAGAGTTCCAGAAGCTTGTGCCGCAAATGACGGCACCCGATGACGGGCGATCAAGGCGTCGCCACCTGCAAGCACCTGCCATCAACCAAGTTGCCTGGACAGTTGACGACCGGAGGGTGAGCACATTTCTTGCTTGTCAATTTGTTGATTGGTTTCGTGCCAACTTTTTCATGTTCACTCCAGAATTTCAATTCGAAATGTAGAGGACAATGGTGCTCAGTCCTGGAGTGCTAAGTACTGTCCCCCGCAGGTTATGTTTGCTTGCAGCAGTTATGTTTGCAGTTGTTCTTTTATATAGTTTGCTTACAAAAGTTCGATTCTTGTTGCCCAGCTCCTTTGCCTGGATTGTGATGAAGACATGACCAGATATTCGCAGGTCGATGACAGGCCATCTGCACATCGTTGAAATCTTGCCCAGGACCGATAATGAGCACAGGGACGCAAGATGTTTGTGAACTCAGTCTGTCTTATTTTTGTCTTATTTTGTCATTTTCTTTCCCAGTGCTTGTAGGGCTTGTCGTCTCCTCCGCAATCTTTGACATAATCTCCCTGACGCCTTTTGGAGCCGTTGGGGTTGCATTTGTATCACGCGACAATAAAAGGAAACAAAACCAAGAAAAGAATGTTGACTATAATATGTAGAGATAAACAAGTAGAAAAATCTGTATCAATGAGAAACACGAAAGCAGGAAGGCCCTACATTCCTGACAGGTAGTGGTCAGCTCAACATGCCATGTTCAGCTAATGTTCAAGCTCGTTGTGCTTGTTTACTCCATTCCAAGTCTTAGGCTTGAAACGTAGCGCGGAATGTGAATGGAAAATGTGGCTACCATGCACTGCAGATTCTCGCTGCCTTGTCTAATGGCAGCATTTGCTGCTGGGATGTCTGGTCGGGGTCGCTCATCCATCAACTGGAGGGCCACACGCAGCAAGTGCACGTCCTGGAGTGCCATCCTATGGACCGCCGAGTTGCATTCTCAGCAGGCTACGATGGTGAAACAGTGCTGTGGGACATCGAGTTGGGCATCAAGCTGAAGAGGTGACTAGAACTGCTGTTCTTTGCAGTCAGGGTGTAGCACAGTGAAGCCACTTAAGTGCTTATTTACTGGTGTTCAGCAGTCACGAGCTCTTTTCAGTCGCTCAGTGCACTCATCAATTAGTCATTTGAAGCAGTAGCGTGCAGGGCTGTGCTGACTGCTGAAATTTAGGAGTTTGATTTTGTTGTGTTTGTGGGTATAGTCCATAGATGGACCGCCTGGGCGAATGCGGCACTGTTGTACCGTCAGGGTTTTGTGGGATGTGCCTCTTCTGAACACAGGTACTAAGTCCAGGTTGCTAGCAGTCAACAAGGTTTTCAAAGCTGATAATCAAGAAACACCCCAAACCTCCACAAGGAACAGTGGGCATGCGACAAGGGGGGCATAAAGCATTGCACACAACCGAGACCCTCTTCTATTCCGCTTGACTGCCTTGCTGGCACCTAGTAGATGATCTTCTGCAGTACTTCATTTTCTACATTTGTTTCCAGTTGTTCACTAGTGGCACGCATGTGCTCGTTGCTCATCTGACTTCTTAAGGATGTTTGGGTCGGCAGATTCTTTTCAGTTGTTTCTTGTGCTTCATTGTGCTGTTTCATGGCCTTTTCTGTCTGCTTGTTTCTATTTTTCTCATTCCTATGCCAGTTGACCATTCTCATATATTGTACTTTTGCGCAAAATTTACAATTTGCTTGCTCGATCATTGCTTGTTCAAATTTTTTTTCTGCACCATTTGGTTCCCCCACACAGACCTAAAATTGACGCCTCTGCCATCTTCTGCCATGCAGTTTCAGCTCCATAGACACACACCCAGGGAGGGTCCGTTGGGCTGACCCCATCGAGATCGTGGACGGCCACTTCATGCCTGGGGGTGTAGGCCTGCTGGTGTCGGATGTGGGCGGGCAGGTCAGCCATTATGGCACAGGTCCCAGGGACCTTGTGGCGCGACCCCCCTATGACCAGTTCTTCCTCAATGACTATGACCTGACGGTTGAAGACGGCAATGGCCAGGTGCTGGATGCTGAGACACAGCAGCCTGCAGAGGAGCAGGGAGAGAGGTGGGGGGGAATGTTGTTTTTTTTCGTGTGGTGTTGAACATCAGGATGTATGAGTGATGTACCTGTGCATGTGTAATGGCACCAGAAAAGGGCACCCTATTGGGCATGGAAGAAGGAACGCTGGTTGACTTCCTGTTGGTGGAGCAGGGGGCAATGAAAAGACAAATGGGCAGTATTTGGTTTTATCACACTGAGTGCATGATTTTGGACTCTTTTACGGTCACATCTTTGGCTGCTCGTTCCCAGTGCCTGGGCAGCACCTGCATCGACGGGACATGCATGACAGTGTGCCATCGTGGTAGTCAGTGGATGGAACAACAAATGAGAGGAAAGTTAGCAAACCTGTCGTAGTGGATGGAATCAAGCTGGCCATCACCTTCATGCACAAGGATTGCACACTGTCATCTTCCGGCAAACACAAACAGGAGAACTGCTGGCAGCATTTCAATTTTCATTCAATGAGCAGAGTGTGCCTGATACCTCAGGTGCTCCTTTTGTGACTTCATGGGCAACCCCTACTCTGAGGACATCCAGCACGCCTGCCGTCATGGTGACCTCAGTGTGTTGCCCATTCCTGCCCACTCGCAGGTGAGGTGCTGAGGAGCACAAAACAATGAATGATTGTACCTTTGTAGGCGGCTCAAAATGGCACACCTTTATGGTTCATGTCCCTAGTACATGTGGATGAACATGTAGTTACATAGTTCTTGCAGTGAACTCAACAGCATGCATTGTCAGTAAACTCTATGTAAGGCAAGGCAAAATGCGAATGCATGCAACTAAGGTGTGATGCACTGAACATGGGTTGCTGAGCAACTGTTGTGCAGGACGTTGTGGCCACCGCGCCTGGAAGGCACCCTGGCAGTGTCTTGTTGTGATTGTCATGATATGCTCCCCCGTTTCCTCTTGGGCTCCCTGGTGCTCCTTTCTATTCACATTTATGAAAAGGATACATTGATTCCACGTTTCTTCTCTTCTCTTTTCTTTTGTATGCACTGGCAGTTCTCTATTCATGCAAACTGTGGGAACCTATGCTATTAAGAATGTTTTTTTTCCTCCGAACAGCTTCGCTGGACACGTGCAAGCGCTGGGAATTGTTATGTTTTTTTGACATGTAACCACTGAGAATCCGCTGTGTGAGGCAAAAAATACTTGAAAGAATGTCTTCAGCTGTGTCTGAGACAGATCATCGTGGACTGGAGATTTGTTGTATCATAATGATCCTCAGCAATTGTGCTTTGTTGCTTACATCAATTCTGTTGTAATTGTATATCTAAATCCTTCAGTCAGAGGCACTGTTCTTGTGGACAGAAGGTGTCTATGAGACTCTTCTCCAGGATTTGAGTGTCATGTCAGAATGTGCATGGCATCATGCCCATCGTTGCCTTCAAGGTGCAATGACAGCGCCTCGATATTTGTTACATTTTTTGTTACATTTCGTCGTTTTGTTATGTTGTAACGAATGGTGTTGGTCTCCACTGTCTGCAGGCCACCCCTGTGGGCCTGAGGCAGTACCCACCCACAGCCACAGCTGCAGCTTGGCAGGCAAATGAGAAGGGACTCACGGAGAACAGCATGCTGGACTGGATCGAGCAGGCCATGGCCAAACAGGAACTACTGGAGCAGCAGGCGGAAGCTGGTGGGAAAATGGATGGGATGCTTCGTACTGACGTTGTTAATGGTTGCAACAGTGTTAGAAATAGTGGGAATTGGTAGTTGTTATGCTGTTGGCTTGGGCAGCTCTAGTAATGCCAGTGTTTTGTATTTGAGAAAGAGCTCGTATTTGCACTGGCTACAGTGTTATGTCTGTATTTGATAACTGGCACTCGTACTAACATTGAGTGGTGACTAGCATGTTATGGTGATGCAGAAGTTGCTAGAGCAGCAACTTGAAATGGGCTTTGAAGGGTCGGGGAGCTGCCCATAGTTGTTGTAAGCATGTGCAGTAATGCTGCAATCACTAACGGCATCAGTCTGTGCTTTTCCAGTGATGTATGGCTGTTTATAACCTACTTATCTGTGCCAACTGCACTGAAGTGACAACTGTGCGTTTGCCTCTGGTGAATTCATCATGCTATCTGTGCCAATGCCTGTGTTGCTCAGCGTGGAGGCAAACAAGAAGTACACTGGCTTAGGAGGTAGAGGTGCTCACTGCATAATTGAGAGCAACTCTCAGAAACGGAACTACATCCAAAATCCTGTGTGCTGCCCCAGAACTGGAGACCAATGCACATGCAGGCAACGAGCACCCCGAGGCGGGTGTTTCCGTTGCCGATGGCGAGACCTCTGCTGTGCCTGATGCGCCTGAGGGTCTTGCAGCGAATAATGCGTCTGCTGCGAATGAGGAAGATGGCGCGAGGGAGGAGTCTAGCTCAGGGGCAGGGGGGCCCTACGATGGTACAGATGGCATGCCAGGTCCGTCTGGGGAGGGCCTTGACTCTGATTTTCAAATGTCTTCACAGACAGGTGGTGCCATTGAGGAGGATGACATGCAGGTGAGCTATTCTGGATTGCTTGGTATGTTTATGCACCCCAGGTGGTCGCTAAACTACAGTAGAAGTTGCTGAACAACACTAGTAAAGTAACACATGCGCACTCATAGGCTAAATTGCTAGGCACAATGTTTTTGACGTTTTCCATCCCTACTGTAGTGTGGTGGGTGCTTGCCACAGTCGTGCCCCTGGGATCCTCATCATCTGTGGGATGAATAACGGCCCCACAAAGATTCTTGCCTGATCGTGGATACTTGTTGCAGCATGTTGCTGCTAACACAGTGCAATCACCATGGTGGCACTAGGCCTGTATCTCATCCACAGGGTGGAGATGATTCCTGATCTCTCAAGTATGATGCCACATTCAGAAATAGGAAACTAATCTTGCTGTATTTGAGGTGTGATGTATGTCCCTGGCCAGCTTCAACTGGGCTCGGTAATGTATTGCAAGTAACTGCACTTGCTCATGTGTTGCCATCTTGCGATGTGCTTCATCTGCGTTCTCAATGTCTTGTGCTGGGTGTACCAAAATGGAAGAGTTGGGATGTTATGTATGAAGCATCACAGTGGTTGTGAAACTAGCTAACTTGGGGGTGTAGGACGTGGACTATGACCCTGGGCGGTTGAGACGGAGCCGACGGCGCAACCGGCCACCCACGAGGGCGCAGAGATCGCGGCAGAGGCGGCGGAGGCTGGCAGAGTCCAGCGAAGAAGAGATTGAGGAGATGGATGAAGAAGAGGAGTCGGCATCTTCGACAGGGGAAGAGAGTGGCAGCGAGGTGGGGAGTTTGTAAGACACTTTTTGTGTTGGGTTGTTGGCACGTTGCCGTAACATTTTTCTTGTTTTCCATTGCACTGTTTGTGACAGGCTGGTTTGGGATAGACCATTAAAGGGATGGATTTATGATTGCAAACAAATGACCTGATGTTGATTTCTCTTGATGTTGATCGTCTTCATCTCATCACTTTGGCTGTCCAGGTCGTCATAGTGGAGAGCTTTGCAGGGAATATGATGTGAAGATAGGCGTTCTGTGGTTAGACAGGGGATGCTGACAGTGGCAGCAAGGTGGCTGGGTGGGTGAGATCGTACAGCAGTTGAAGAAGCGGTGCTTTTCCAGTAGTATGATGCACACAATCAACAAGGTGTTGCAGCAGTTTGGATGGGGATGTCAAACATGGCGCAATTTAGCGTATTGAAAAGAAAATGTTGGGGCTGCACCCAATATAGACTCTGGTCTATTGCTGAAGTCGTATTCGCTTTATCAGTTAGTTTACCCTAAAGCCAGCACCAGATATTATCTTGTTGAGAATGAGACTCGAATTTTCAGACGAAATGTACAGCGTTGGTATCAAGTCCATCAAATTCGCTTGGCCGACCGCATTGATTGACTGCTGGCCGTGACAGGGGCACCAGCGACGCGCCCGCCGTCGCGCCGCCCGGCATCCACAGGGCTGGTACGCAGACAATCAGTATGGGGTGGATGGGCAGAGGCGGCGACGGCGGCGGCAACGCTCCAGGGGCCGACGGCCAGCCAAACGCAGGAGGACGCAGTCCGGCAGGGCGCTGGGAGCTTACAACTGGCTGCAGGTGACTCATCACAGCACTGTTGTTTACTCATGCACTGGGCAAGTCTGCTGCTCTGTAGTCAGTTAGTCAATGCACTTGACATATTGCAGATTTGCCAGCAACGATGTGGTACACATTTTGTGCAAATTATCAATGCATGCTACGCTACCTGACCTCAGTGTGAATACCTGACCACATTGTGGATGCAGACAGCAGCATCCCAGTACAGCTTTGGGCAGGTAACAGCAAAAAAAACTGAGGTTGAAAGTACTCAACAGAACTGTTAGCTGTAGGCAGTGGTATACAGCACCACAGAAGAGTAATTTTTGAGTTCAACCTATGGCACTTCATCAGAGCACTACTTTCCACACTTGGCATGAAGAGAGCCACCAGGCAAGAAGTTGATGTTGGGGTGCACCAAGGGTCCAGTTCATTCGTTCCAAGGCTGGCCCAATGCCTCCGGACATTGCGGCATGTACATACACAAAACGGTGGTGAGGCTGCGTTCTGGGGTGGCGATCAAGACAAGGCATCTGTGGGTGAAGGCCCATCAATGCAGTCGAGTGAATGCAGGCCTATGTCTCTACACTTTGCAAGCATTGCCTAGAGCACCCTTAAGACTGTTTTTTGGGGTCACAGGCCTGCTACTGTGTGGGCAAAGGCAGCCGAATCGTTATTCCATGGATCGCACTTGTCACAAGCACATGGGAAGCAAATACCCTTGCCTATAAAAAGCATTCACAGGTGCTCTGGCTGGCCTGTTGTTTCTATTTCACGACACTCGCTCATATTTGAAAGCAATATTTGGCATGCAAGAAGCAGCATTTTCTTGGTCTCCCTTGATCACAGTTGCACCCTCTGATGGAATAGTACAGAAAACTGGGAACACAACAGCATGCTGAACTCCACCTAATCTGCATTAGTTATGGGCCATGAATTATGGCCTACTGTACTTTGTCATTTTCTAGAATCAGAATAGAGAAAGCAAAAGTGCAACAGCATCCTGACTTGGTACATATGGAGGCAGACAGGCGCAAGCATAGTGCTGTATGTTTTGTGCAGGCTGTGGACCCCTGCATGAATGCCTATGTGCCCCAGTTGGGCGATCGGGTGGTCTACTTCTGGGATTTGCACAGGCAGCACCTGGAGGAGACCTGTGGGCCACGGGGCAGTATGGCCACACCCTGGAGCGACTTATCATCACCTCTGTCGTTTACAGGTGTGGAAAGTGAACGAACGGGAACACCACTTGAATCCCTCTTTATAAAAGAACTGGCATAGGGCTCAGCACTTTGCTGTTCTCTCTACTTGGCATTGTGGGTACGTTTTGTTGTGTTCTGGAGCTCTAGGGCTGGGTAAAGATGGTTTGGAATTTCATGGTTGTATCATGGGTATGTGTGTTCGTGGATGTTGCTGATTTGGCTTTGTCTGCGTATGCGATTTCTGTTATTTCTGCCAAAAGATATTTTTCTTTAAAATGAATGTGTCCCCTGCCCAAATACCTGACAAAAACTGGCGACCATCTCATCTCATCCTGTATGTTTTGTTAATGAAGTCAGGAAGTTCACCAACGTTTCAGAGGAACCAGTGTCAATTGCAACACATCGTTGCTTTGCAGCCCTGCTTCTGTCAGATTTTGGCTTTCAGCCAGAGAGACTGGCTGTCTTTCAGGGGTGTGGAGAAATGAATGGGTGCTATCAATGGATGATGCTGAAACAATCATTCCCATCGTTGCCTTGCAGTAAAACAAGTTGTACTTTTTTTACAGAGCCCGCTGATGTTGAGGCCATCGAGTATGACATACTGTCAGTGAAGGATGCGCCAACGATTGCGCGCCTCACGTTGGCTTTCAGTGAACCCTCGCATGGAAATTTTGGCAAGAGGATTGTTGTTGAGCTGCCACCCCCATCGTACGGGCATGAGGAGTTTGTGATTGAGAGGACCAAGTTTGAGGAAGGCTTGGCCAGGGAGTGGAAGGAGGGGGACATGTGCAAGGTGGTGGTGGTTGCTGTGTTTATGCGTTCTTTTAGTTGTTCATGTCTTGGTGCCTGATGTTCGCATCGCACTTGGAAGTTGTTGCTGGATATCTGCCCTATGGTCCACATTTCTGTATTCTCAAAATTTTACAACCTCTTGGGAAGTGTTGCACACGCTTTTAGGAAAGAATGTGTCAGCAAGGTACAAGAAAGTAGATAGCCTTTGTACTACTTTGGCAAAGAAAGTCCTGCAGCTTTCTCATCAGATTGCAGGAAGTGTGATCGCTGGAAAGTGTTTCATCCTTGTCCAGTGCTTGTCTGTCTCTAAATGCCCCTGTCTCTTAATGGGCTCTCTGAATTATTTAATGGCATTGAATTTCATCCCTGAATGCCCCCTAAAGTGCATGCACATGTCTACGCTACAAGCCACATTCGCCACATTCGAGCCAGACTCTCACTGCATATGAGAAATGACAAATCGACTACACACATTCCCGCAATCAAATGTGTTCGCATCCTGTCACATTCTAGATTCTTGCTCTGCAAAGTTCAATATGCCAATGGTGGAATGGGCGCATCAACAATATGGTATGTGCACAAGAGCTCCTTGTGCAGAAGCGTTTACGATGCTTCCCTTGCCACAAGATCACCATCCCAAGCAGAGACCTTCTGATAGATCCAGTTCACTTGTGATGGTGTGATGCAGCCATTGTCCTGAGCTCAGTTATTCAGTCCAGTTGGATTTCTTTCACCTATTCAAACGAGAACTCACATGGCGTCCTTGCTGTGCCAGGTTTGTTACGTTGAGGAAACTGACAGGACGGATGGCTGGTGGACGGCAGAGATAAAATGTGACAAAGCGCCAGGCATTGATCCTTCTGAAAACATCTGGGAATGCAAGGCCCTCTGGGGCCGGTTTGCTGTGCAGTGGCAAGAGAACAGCGAGGGCGGGGACTTCGGTGAGTCGCTCATTGGGCATATGCTGCATTCGCTCATTGGGCATATGTTGCATTTTTGTGTTGGTCATGCGTGGGTCGTGCTCATGCACTTCAGGACATTGGACGATGTTATTGTGTGATATAAAAATTGTGAGGCTGTGTCGACAGTGCCGGACTTGCTTGTTGACACTGGTGATGCTTTTGCTGAACCTGTTTGTTCTTTCAGTTCTGTTGATGTCTGTGGAAGTTCATGTTCAGTAGGTCTTATGCATTGTTTGTCTGATGCATTCTGGCATTTGTGTCCAACTGTGGTCTGTGCTGGCAGAGTACAGCGAGTCCAATCTCAGCCCTTGGGAGATGCATCCCAACGGTGCTGCCCCTGTTGGCTCCCACAGTTGTCTGGACAAGACCACCGTTAACAGCATCGCGGACACTATTGTGAGCGCCATGCAGATGGAAGAGGCACTGCTCTTTGTGGATGTTCTTGGTGAGGCTCCCACTTGCATGAGCAGATGATTGAATTCATGTGGGAACGTTAAACAGTACACATTTCGTGCCACGTGTCTCAACTGAGTTTGGATCATCGGACAGCACCATTGATGCAATCTATTTGAAGCCTATTTATTGTATGTCTGCTTATTTGCAAGTTGTCTATCGATGTGGACAGTATTCTAAATACTGCAGTTGTTGAAGCAAGTATACAACTTTAAACACATTAGTTTGAAGCCTATCCATGCCATTGGTATATCAAATGTATGTTTAAATGATGAGAATCCTGGTGGTGCCAGGTCCGGATGAGTCCTACCCCGTTGCCGGCTCACGTGGCCGCCACATTGAACGGCTGTACTACAACCGTGCCGTGGCACTGCCCCTGTCCTTGTCCATCGTCCTTGAGCGCCTGCAGGACCCGTGCTACTACCGCAGCGTGCGGGCCGTGCGGCACGACCTGCGGACCATAGTGACCAATGCGGAGGACTTCAATGGACGCAATGACAGCATTGCGGCAAATGCAAGGGCAGTTGAGGCAGCAGTGTTGGAGGAGATTGGCAGTATGGAAGGGCGAGAGACGCGGGAGGCCCGGCGGGAGACACGGGAGCTGCGGCGGGAGGCGCGGGAGGCCCAGGAGGCACGGGAGGCCCAGGAGACCTGGCAGGCTAGGGAGGTGGAAGAGCCACCGGATGGGCAGGAGATGCTTGGCACACGACTATCTGCTGAGGAGGGCCCAGAGGTGGTGCCGGAAGGCGATGGTACGTCAAACAACTCACTGGCTGATGAACACTGAGAATTCAAACTCGGAAATCAAAGGTGGAAGCTGAAAATCGAAGTAGGGGTCGAATCATGACTAAGATTTGTTTTCCTTTATGCGTTGAGCTATTTCAGGTGCAGTGCCTCAGAGGAAGTTATCATAGCAGTCACTCCTGTGCCGGAAATGCCAACGGCGCCTTGCTTATTTGTTTGGCATGGTCGGGTGGGAAGTTGCCTGTCCCTCTGGTCAACTCTAGTTCACAGAGCACCAGAGATGGAGACATCACGATCTGATTGAATGCATGAATGCATCCTGATGGACAGCAAGTTGGATGATAGCCACAGCGTTGTGTGCTTCTGCATCAAGACAACTTCGTCCAAGATAGTTGTTTAGCCCATGACAGGTGTTCACCCAAGCGCCCACCACAGCATAGAGCTAACTCTACCAATTGTGCTTCGATTGCTTCAGTGTCAGAATCTTATATGCCGGTGTCCGCAGGCGTTCCCAGGCGCCCCCGCTCACAGCGTGCCCGCCGGCCCCGCTACGCCCTGGAGAGCTCCCTCTCCATCGTCAGCTCAGACGCTGTCCCACTAGATGACCCCCCGTCGTCCATCCTCACCAGATCCAGGTCCCAGCCCTCAGAGGTCGTCTCGCAGATGGCTGTGAGCCGCCCGGTTCGCACCCGGCATGAACCCGTGAGATTTGATCAGGGCTACGAGCTACGATCGAGCTCAGGGCGATCGCGCAAGCGCACGCGCTCGCTGCGCGCCAGGGAGGCGGAGGAGGCCATGCAGGAGGAGGCGGCGGCTGAGGAGGCAGGACCCTCAAGGAGGATGTCAGTCAGGCTGCGCACCCGCCGATGAGGTGGGTGTGGGTCGCCCCCCTGCCATGCCCGTCTCCCACCCCATGCGCACGGCCACCCTCTTGAAGCTGGACCCTTGAGGCCTGCAGGCTGAGTCATTAGCCTGACTGCGCGAGTCGTGGTGTGGTCGGTGTGGGCTCCAAGCCCCAAGGGTTCTCCTCGGCAGGATGATGGGCGCTGGCGTGTGCGTGCTAAGGTTGGTGGGCTGGGCCCCTGTTGCTGGCGGGTGAGGCAGCCTGCTTGGGCCAGGATTGGCGCCAAGTCTTGAGGAAGGGCGCCAGGGTAGGTGCAGAGAGGTGTGCACATGCTTGGGATTCTGGCAACAGATTGTGGAGAAATTGTTGCAGAGATGCCTCCACCAGGGTATTATCCATTCCTAATCGTGATCGATTCATGATAATTTCTCAGTGTGGAACAAAGCTCAGAGTGTATGTGCACAACGTAAATTACAGCATGAGAGCGAGGAACCGTGGCATCGGCTTTGTTTTGTTGACATCAAGGACCAACAAGCTTACCGGAGGAGCATTTCTGTTAAACCGGGTGCTTTTTGTGTCGTTAAACAAAATGAATGTGGGTAGCGTTTCATCACATAGGTGTGTGGCAGGCAGCGGGTAAGACTGAAAGTGGCTGTGTTGTCATAGAGCGCAGACTCCATATGTTCAGATATGCACATTGGACGTGGCACATGTGTTGCCATTCATTAGCGTCGTAGGGCTGTCCACATGCACACATCATTTCACGCAAAGAACGATCTCACAAGACCCAGCAGTCTGTCCAGGTCGTTGCTGCATGTTGGGTTGCGCAGGCCAGTTCTGTGAATTTCTTTGCTTACATTTGTCAAAAGGACAAAACAAGACCCTGACACCCTGGGCGGGCCAAGTGTGGGTGTGCCTATGCGTACAACTTGCACACAGTGCCGCAGTTCTAGGCTTCCTGCTTGTTTTCCTCTCTTCTGCTTGTGCTCGTCTCCACGTTCTTCATCGTGCTTGTGGTTGTCCTGGTGACAGGGTCTTGGGCCGGGAGGGCAGCTTTGCAGCCGCTTGCTTGGGGGGCGACAAATTTCTTGGCCAACTTTTGGGCGGGTGCGCGAGCGCCCACACCGTCACCAGGGGCCGACCTGCCAACATCTGTGGTGTAAGTGGCAGAGGTTCTGCGAGACTTGGGCGATTGTGTTGGCGGTTTGGCAGGGTCGCTTGGCTGGTTTCTGTTGTGTGGGGATTGTTTGATAAGCGCGTGGGGCGTTGTTGCTGACCAGAGGCAGCAGGCGAGTCATTGCATTTCAATTGACCGGCACTCTGGACCGAACCTACGTCGATGAGGAAAATGACCGTGGCGCTTTGGGGTTCTTGGGAGGGGAACAGAGAAGATAGCAGTGCATGCATGGAGGGGATGTTTTCTTAATCGCTTTTTAGTTTTCTTTCTCATGGCGGTCTTCTTTCTCTTTTGTATTGGTGGGGGGAGAAGCAGTGCAGGCGAGATGGAGAGTGGAGGCTTAACTAGCTGGTGGGAATTTGGGCTGTTGAAGGGGCCGCCCACCAGGCTGTGCCCCCGTCGCAGCGCAACGATTTTTTGGGGAACTTATTTGCTTAATTTGGTACAGAGCCTTGGACGGCGTACCAAAATGTAAAGAAAAAGTTGAGCAATGCACTGGGTGCCGGTGCACACATCCTGATGTCTCATGTCGGCGATCGCATCATCGAAAGTGACAATGCACTGCATTCACAGTCGAGGCAATGGCGTTGCTACCATCATGAGTTTGCCCATGTCCTTTTTGAGGGACGGGAGCAGGTGCACCCTTGACGTTTGCCCCACCACCTGGGACCTATCTGGAAACAGGCAAGGCAATATTCCATCAGGAATTATCTCGAAATACGGATAGTCTTAATATCACTCGCACTAATCTGTTGCTACAGCGTTGCGCTCAGTTATCTGCCTCGCCACTGCGTGGGTCACCAATAATGAGAGCATTATTGCATCATAATGCGACCCTCAGTTGCGTCGAGCTGGTGCCCTGTGAGGCCCAGATTGCCTTGGCAAGGGACTCCAGTCCGGGGGAGCCTTGGCCATTGGAGCTGGTGGTCCTAAGAGGGAATCGTATAGACTGTGGGAGTTATCGGGCAGTATCGGACTACTGACTACGGCAACTGGGCCCAGACACGACAACAACATCCAGGGCATACTCACGTAACCCCGTACAGCTAAGCATCCCAGATGCGCAAGCACATTCGAACCCGAGGTGGCGCAGAGGCCTTTGGGGTTGTTGCCGGGAGCGCTCGTCCCCGTGCCACGACGAGGGACAACTCCTCCGTCCAGCGACCGTTGCGTTCGACTCAGGGGCCAGCAAGGAGAGGCCCTGCGGTGTGAAACCAGAGCAATGCCCATCGTTGTTTCAGGCGGCTCCGTTTCTGACCATGGGCCGGCGACGGGGGATCCAGCCGCACGATGGTGAACCACGTCCGCGCAGGTCTGGCCCTTTCCCGCTGGGGGGATTGGACCGCCTCCCCTTGGAATTTCATTCTGCCCGTGTGGTTTCCCTTCGGAAGGGATTGCGTGTCTTTGCCCCCACTCCGGATGGCCCGGACAGGTGGGTCTCGATGGCCTGGACGTTCGTGCGCGGCACGCAAGGCCAGCCCGAACAATTTCAGCCGGTGGGCTTACGGAGCAGGGGCTGCCCGCCGATCTGACTGGCGACGGCTTGCGGTGGAGCCCCGGAGAGAGAAACACGCCGGCCTGGGACCCTGGGCAGGGTCGTGGGGGCGATGGGGAGTGACTGGAGCGGTGACCCAGAGGGTGGTTTTCGTGGATGACTCAGAGGGGATGCGGGTGCGGATGGTGGGTGGTGACATATCGAGGATATCGCTGGCAGTATCGGGCGCTGTCAAACCATCCTGTATGTTAAGCCAACCGTGGGAGACATGGATGATGGCGTGACTGGGAGTAAGCTTCCCAGGTGGTCATTATAGGTGTAGAGTGGTCATTAAAGGGTGTATAAGGTATCAATAGATAGGAAATTTCTTAAACAATCAATTGGTAGTTTGATCAGAAGATTTGGAGCGGAAATGAGCATTTTTGGAGATATTTTCACTCGCAGTTTGGGGGCCATAGGAAACAGGGCGGTCCGATTGGGTGAAAACTGACTGATTTGACCTGTGAGGCATACGTAGCCGTGCGTGAGGGGCGGATATGCAGGCCCATGCGGGAGCAGCTGCGCTGAGCCTGTGGCGCGCGTGAGAGCTTCCCAACTACTGAGCCACCACTGAAGATGGCCTGCTTCATGATTGGTGAGGGTGCTCCAGCCAGTTTGGACCAGATCATGGAGTGGCGCCAGGCGTAGGCCCTCCTGGGCCTGAATGATGTCAAGGAATTCTGTGAGCAGCTGGAGCAATTCTAGGCTGCTCGCCTTGCTGCGCCAGAGGTCCAAGCATAATGGACCAACGAGCGGGGGGAGGTGGTGGTGGACCGGGTCTGGAAGCACGCCAACGATCTCCAGCGCGCACTCCTGGAGGTGTGGGAGGCCTCCCTAAGTGATGACTACTATATATTTGATATGGTGAAGCAAGTGGGGGAGGCCTTCTAGGTTTCGCTGGACATGGGGGCGTTGTTTGTTGCAGTGCAGTCCGAGGTGCTCATGCAATTTGAAGTCATGTGGTATATTGGGTTGAAGCCCACATGGGACGCCTCCCGAAGGGATGTGGAGGTCTTGAAGTTGCATCGCATGGACAACAAACCGGTGGTGTGGTGTGCGCTAAAGATTGTGGAGGAGGAAATTCAGGCAGAGCAGTGGCGGGTCATGGGGGGTTTCTTCCACAAGCGCCTCAATGCGCCAAGCTTGGACGAAGCGTATCTGAGAGACGGGCCATTGAGTGCTTTGGTAGAAGAGCGCCGAATTCTGTCCAAGTTACCCCCAGGACCGCCCAAGCGGAACTTGGATTCGCCCGTTCTCCAAAAGGCCATCGAGGGCTAGAAATGCACAGATGCAGGTCATGCAAGCACGATGGAAGTTCGACGCGTTAAGTTTGAGGTGCAAGGCTGGATTCAAGGGCACAAGACCAAGCCGGACGTTGAGCAGGAGCCCCCTCCCTTGGCAGAGAAGCATGGTTGAGGTCAGCGGAGGCGGAGGGAGCGAGCAGAGGCGAGCGTTGGCAATATGACAGTTGGAGCATATGTCAGAATAAGGTGACAGAACATCCTGGGTTTGCATAAGGCCGTACTGCAGAGGTTGCCCCTTCAGTGGACGTTAGTTTTTTATAACTTTTGATTTGAGGGAACTTGTTATATATTGTATGGATCAATGGGATTGACAAGCCCTGTGGGACCCTTGGAGTGAGGCTGAGGTAGCGTTGAGGGGACAATGGGCGGCAGAGCCATAGGATTTACACACAGGGCCTGGTCGGAATTTGGGGAGATGGTCCTTTTGAATTGATAGGACTTTTGGAATGGACACTTGGAGTGGCCCTTTTACTTGTTGTATGAGTTTCTGGACAAGAATATACAAATAAGGCGGGGGTGTGCGATGCAGCTGCCCCCGGCCTGTAAGACGCTTTGGCCTTGCGACTGGTGCACCGAGCAAGCCGCCTCGTTTGTAGAGTGTGGGAACTGAGAGGTCGGGCGAGTGGAATTCCCTCGGGAAGGAAGCCCTGCATCCGTGTGAAGGGGGCATTACCCCGGTGTGTATCTTTCTGTCCTGGGATTTTGGCTTACGCATGTCCCATTGCGCTGTGCATACCCCGAAGGGTTGTGCCATGTATCGGCACCAACCTTTGCACCACCCTATCAGTCCATGAACTCATGGAAACTGCAAACAGGGTTTGCTTCAGTAGTGTGAACTTAACGACCTTTCAGATTGACGCAAATAATTTCGCTTCAAGTGCTCATATTTCTCGAGGGTTCTTTTGTTGGGACTGGCAAGGAAGCAGCCTTTTGGAATTTGGCACCGAGGTGCACCAAAATGGTGTCAGGACTGCGAGACATAGCGTAGTGCCACCTCTGATGCCTATGAGTCCATGACTTCACTGCTCTTAAGCAGCAAGCAGACGGGGTCACACAAGAGGCATGGGATATTGGGGCAGTGCGCCCCTCTTCGCAAAAACCCCCACCGCAAACCCCCACACGCATCGAATTGACGACGGGTTTTGTGGCCTTCATGATGCTGGGCCACACGAGCTTTCTCGCGATTCCAGCGCTGCACTCTCTTTTTGTGATTTGGGTCCTCGACCATAACCACTTTCCAGACTGCATCGATTGAAGTGCAGTCTGGTGTGCAGGATTGGGCTTTCCTGATGATGATTCAGAGATGATGGAACCACCTTCGATGTGGCAGTCAGGCTTGATTTGGAGAGACACCAAAATGCCTGCGGACGCTGCGTCCCAGACTTTGTCGGATCCCTGGAGCCGACAACCTGGAGAAGTGCCATGGCCCTGCGCACGCCCGAGCGTCGCGCTTGACTGGAAAGCCTGGGGAATCCACCTGCTGTTGAACGGACTGCAAAGGTGCGCGCTGCCCTTCGTCTCGCTTCGCCCCTCAGGACCTCGCCCATGGCTGTTGCTGCCACTTGCTGCAAGTCAATGACTTTGTTCGATTTTTTTGCTTGGTGGCGACTGCACGCACATGCTGATTTGCTGCCCCTCGCAGTGGATGTATTGAGATCTCGCCGTATATTCAGCGGCCTACTGCCAGGATGACTGTCCACGTTGTCCCCCGACTCTGGCTGTGCCCGCCGCGTGCTGCGAAGCTGGGGCACTGCACCATCTAGCAAGCTCAATCTTGCAGCCCCTGGAGTGAACAAGCATGCACTTGAGCGGTATACTGCGAGTCGTGCAGGTTCAATCAGGACAGAATTCAACGTCCAACCAGCCAGTGGGGCCGCTTCTGCAAGTGGCAGCCCCTTATTGAGAAACGTGGATATCTGGGAAGAAGAAGGGCTTGCGCAAACCACCCAGTAAAGCACCTTGTGACCATCAACACAAGCACACTGCGTGCTGAGACAGCGTTGGCTGATATTGCCAGGCAAGTCTTTCAGTCGAATGTTCCCTGGTGATCTGCAGCGCTTGCTGATGCAAGGCACTGGCTGCAGAGCTGTGCTAACGCTGATTGTGCTCCCCTGGTTGCAGATCCGGTCAGTTCAAAGATGTGGCAACGGGTTGTTCTGGCTGCAGGCATCACTGTGGTGGCGATTTGTGTCGGGTTGTGGGGAGATCACCTGCAGGCAATCAAATCACTGCATCTTCAAGTTCCTGGTATGACAAGCCAATAGTAACTTGCTGTGGTGTTGAGCAGATTCCGCATTTGTAATTCATCAGTAACCCAACAGTATTTCATTAACACTTGAGCACTGCTCCTGCTGGGTGCCAGTGCATCGAATCATAACCTGGCGATTTGCGGCAGGACTGCTGTAAAATAGTGCATCGAAATCTGTGTGGTCACATCATTGCCCTACATTGTCTTTTTATCAACACAACTGTATCTCAAAAAGATTGTCAATTTTCTCCAAAAAAACTGGATCTCCAAATGAACGCAGCAGCTGGAATCTGATGGCCCAGTTTCCAAATAGCTCCACACTGTGAAGTTCATAGCCTATTGGCTGGGCAGTGTTTCAAAATGTCCACCAGCGCATGGATCGCTATGCCATTGGGTTTAAACTCCCATTTTTGTCGAAGTGAAGTTGCCAAATGGTTTGTGCACCTGTTCAGGATTCGGGACAGAAAGATCTCTGGGGAGTTACTACAATGATCAAGACAAGGTGCAAGAATCTGTAATGGTGGCCAAGGAAATTTGTAGCTGACTATTGTCAGACAGTATCCATGGCACAGTGTGCATTGGAAGTTGGTTGTTGCCACCTGAACTGTGTATTTATGTACATTTGCGTACAGTAGAGCACATGTGTTTCGGTGACTGGAGGCCTCACTGCCAGATGTGTTGTTAATGGTTGTTGTGTTGTGAAGCCAAGGTCAAGGTGCTTGCAGCTGCCTTTCTGGTGTGAACAAGTTGCAATCCGGCAATTCATGCTGCTGTTTGTGTCATGCTTGCTGTTGCAGAACATTTACAACAATGTGCTCTGTTTGTGCTGCAAGCGACTGCTGTAAACATTGCTATTTTGTGTTATGTCATTTCACAATTCTGGCCTCCCAGCAGAGCAGCTGCTTCTGACTTCATTTCAGTTAGAAATAGCAAAATCAAACAGAGTGGCTCTTGGAACTGTTGCTCTCAGGGGAAGACTGGCTGCTCTGTTAAGTCCCAAGTTGTAGAGCTGCCTGAAAACGGTCTACAGTCGATGGATAAAAATTGCAGCTAGTTCTTATCGGGAAATTATTAAATCGTGCTTTCGAATGGATAAATCTTGCCTTTGGACAGATGAATGGTGCCCTAAACCCTGCCAGTATGGGTCCTACCAACCAGAGCACGTTTCCATAGTCCTGCCAACTAGGTTTCTGGCGACGCACTTGTCGCTAACCACGGTCAAGCAGCACCGGGCAGCAGGAAGCCGCACTGCCCTCCTGCGCCTAGGGCAACCAGCCCCTGGACAAGGAGCTTTTACGGCCGGGTGATCCTGATGCAAGGCAGGAGGGACACTCTGGGTTAGGATTCCTGCAGATTTGGCAGTGGCGGTTGTCTGCTTGGCGAACAACAGGGCAACTTGACCACCCTGTTGCAGAGCATGGAGAAGGCTGATAGAGTGTGGGGTGCGGAGCGATGGGCATTCACTGCGTTGTCGATGTTTATGACAGGCGACGCCCTGTTACACAGCCTGTGCCTGAGGCACATTTTTCCGGTTATATCCCCATTATGGGACCCAGGCTGGGTCAAGAAGTGAACATGGGCACAGATGTGTGTGACAGCGATTTTGCAGATTTGACATTCGTGGGAGCGACTGCCACCCCAAGCAGGAGTCCCGCCAGGCCGTGCAGCAGGTCTAGATCCTTGCAGTGGCCCTTTGTGATAGTTTGGGACGTGGCAGATGCAGGGTGGCAATGCAATCACCATGCCCTGGTCCATATCGCCCAAGGCAAGTACAACAACATGGCACGTTCCAATCACCTGCATCAGCAAGTCAGCACTCAAAGCTGCCAACCCCAGGAGGGGTCTAGCTATTCTGCATATCGATTCTAGAAGCCTACAATGGCACTTTTGTGACTGTTGCGACCATTTTATGCCCAGCATAAACCTGCAGCGGCAGGCATTTAGGAAGGGGGGGGAGAGGGGGGGTGGGCTGAATCCCTGAACAATTGGTGGTGGTGTGTGTGGGGGGGTGGGGTGGGGTGGGGGCCCATGGTGCTTGCAAGCAGTAGGATGGCAGGGGACAGCTCTGAAAAGGAGTGCAACTGTTGTTCCACTGGTTGTGTAGTGCACAACTGGCAGTGAGGGAACGTACCAGTCCCAATGCTCAAGGGCCATTTAATCGGGACCCACCACTGTGGCCAACACCCTAGGCTAGGGCCAAGTGCCAGTTGTTCGTAACCACTGTGTTATTGTGACTGCCGCCCTATTGGGCCGCTACCGTATTGGTTGAGCGATACCCATGGGTACCGAGCAAGTCCAATACAAGCTGTGTGTGCATGGGATGAGAGAAGAAATCTTGATAGTCATCCCTCTGAGGCTGCTTGCCCATTGCTGCCCAACAATAGGGGCCATGCCTTTCGATGGCATGCCACTGAGCATGACACCCACAGGTTGAGTTGCATGATGCAGCCTTCTCTGTGTGCTTTCCTTTTTATGCAAGCAGAGGGAGTGTGATTGAGCCCACGACCATGGGTGGCTGGCCTTGAAAGGGCGGTTACACCTCCTAGAATGAGCACAGGTGGATATGAAGGAAAGTTGAGCAATCAAGTTGTTAAACTTTTTTGGGTAGTGCAAGGCTGTCTTATGTTGGGACATTATCGTCATCACATTCATAGGCCTGACAAATGATTGTACTTGTACGATGGTGTATATAACCAATTTGAGTTGGCTTATGCTCGTCACCCTGCCACTATGGCAGTGCCGCCACACTGAATGGCCAGCCAGGCAACAACCAGGAATCAATCATCTGCACCTGAAAACCAGCTGCCAAGTCCAAGCCAGATGGGCAAACAGATTGGAAGAAAACAAAAGCACCCAAAATTGGCCCATATGCGAGTGATCTTGGATAACACATGAAAGAGTGGCCAATGTGGCATTGGTAAATTAACAAATTGCATTATCACGAACATGGAGATACATCACCATTGGTGCCCAGGCCAGTGAATATTGTGCTACATTGCAATTTTGCACAATATTCACTGGACTGCACACCAACGGTGATATCCCAATTGGGGACAAAAAAGTGCAGAACATCGGGCCCAAGTTCCATCGTCTCAAATTGTATATATTGGAGCCTGACTTTAATGTGCAATTGTCTTCATCCCACATCCCCAATCGGCATTTGGTGGCAAAGAGACAGGGTGGAGGAAGCGCTGAACAATGCATTTTACAATGTAAACGAGAAATGAGAGTGCTGTAAAGCATATCTAAGACCGTGGCCTTGTATATTTCAGCATGTTGTGGAGATATTCTGATACTTGAGTGTGGCACATGGTTTTGTAGCTTACTATGGCTCTCCAACGCCGATTCCCTTATATTGCCAGGATAAAAACGCCATCACTTGAGGCTTTTATGCTTTGCAACGGTGTTTTGATTCATCCTCAATATATATTGACTACGTCTGAGTGCGTGTCCCTTCATGCTGGACAATCAAGCGTGTACATTGGTGATGATGAATGGACACCGGAAGTGGAGGTAAAGACGGATTGACGCTTGTGTGTTGTAATGCTACTGCCTCCACTTCAAAAATGATGTCACACCTCGAATTGTTGCCATAACTTTGCAAATTCAACTCAATCAATCAATTTGTCACCAGATTCGGAGTCCTTATTCGAATTTGGGTTGATAGCGATCTTGGTTACAGTAGCCATCACCATACAACAAGAGATTCACAGCCTTTTCCAAAGCCTCCCTGCTCATCTTCGTCAGGGCCTCAATGCCCTACAGTTTTGTGCTCACCTTGCCCCCATGTGTGCCAACCTATTCCGCCCAAATTATGCAAAAACCCCATTGTAGAATGTAAATAGGCACTACCACAGACTTTCAAGAATTTTGGCATCATTGCAATCACACTTGTTGTGGGCCATCTCTTCCGCTACACTAACTCATGTTTTCGAAATTCTCAATTTAACGATTGGCAATGTTGGTGCCAACATGGGCCATTCTTGGGCTAGCGGCAGCATGCCTTTCCAACCTTGGCGTGCAGGGCTAAGTCAATGCTCTTGCACTACTCAACTTGTCTCTTGGCCTTTGGCCACAACAAATGCACATTTCTTGTTGACACCCAAAATCTGTGGCAAGTCTGCATCTTTTCTTTCGTGATTCTGCGATGAATTTAGCCTAATCTTCAGCATATACCAAACCAACAAGCTATACCTCCCCTAGTGATAGCCCAGCCCGATCCACCTACTGTCAAGGGCGAGACGAGCTCGCCATGCTCCTCCCAAGGTGCCAACAGAATGAAAGTGGCGTTTCAGTTCTTCTAAAAATATTGCAAGAACGGCAGCTCTATTTGCCACGTTCAAGGGCTCTACAGAAAGCTCTTGATATGGCGTGTCAAAGTCGTTTCGGTCAATTTTCTGACTCGCACGTTTTGACCTCCAATCACGCAAGTTACAAATGCGACATGGCTTTTGGAGCAGTGGTATTATTCTATTTGGGGCCATCGGCTGTCCTATTTAAGAACATTGAATCTTGGCAGTATTTTGCATTGACAGTACAGCTTAGGATATATTGATTCCTTACTGAGATGTTATTTTGGCATGTCGTGTATGCTGGGGAGTTCTTGCATTTGTATGGTGGCATGAAATGTCAGTAATCTCAATGCATGCGTAGTGGCACTGAAGTGTTGTGTGTTGTTAATGTGAAGGTTGTCAGCGTGGTTACCCATCCTGATGCGGTGATGCTCTTTCAGGAAATTGGATTTTATGAGAAACACCTCGACATCGCATTGGCCAAGCTTGAATACCCAGTCAGGAAATCAGTGCTCCCCTTGCTCTCTGGCACCAGCATCAGAGGAGGTGATAGCCTGACAGTCATCAGTGTCGACTGGGGTGCCCGCCTGTCACATTTCTCTGGCACACGCGTCAGTTGCAGGAATTACGTTCATGGATGGGAACCAACAATGGAGTGGCAGTTGCAGTGCTTTGTCACTGAAGGGAATGTATCACTGGGCGGAGGTCAGTGTGCTAAACAGGAGCAGGACCTAGAAAAGAACTGGTAGTTAATGTTGTCCAGGTTGCCCCTTTCACAAAAAGCTGCCAGCGTGCTGATGTTAAATTGTGTTGATGCAGTAACATAGGGTCCCTGATCAGTCGTTTTCGCTGTTGTGTCAATTCGGCTGTTTTCAGGCCATAGTTTTCCTCCTCACAGCTTAGTGGATGGTGCCAGGAATAAAGAGCATATCATCAACATTTTGGGTGACTCCATTTCCAATTAACAGTATGTTGCCCAATGATATAATATGACAACCTGTTGTAGGCCATGGTGAGTTGCTTGTAGGTTTTTGCTCAGCCAGATGGTAATCTGCAGTAAGAGGTTTTCCAATCACAGGGAGATTTCTTCCAGTCAGATGCACTTGAGAAGTAGCTCACAAGGTGCAGTAAGATCCCTGCCTTCTTTTGTTGGCTTTCATGTCATTTTTAACAGGCACTTGTTCTTGCAACTCACTACTGTGTATATGCTTTGAAGGGGGATAAAAAAAGTCGCTGGTTTCAGGCAGACTCCATGATAAACAAGGTGCAGTGTCCCCTGGGCACAAATGAACTGGGAGAAAGAAAGAAACTGAAGGTGTTATTGGCTTGAAGTCGAACCCACAATGGCCACATTCATCCACAACCACAGCTAACAACTGAAAGGTGCTAGTGGCATATAATGAGACATTTTATGGTATTCCATAGAAGAATCAACTGAGCCCACCAACAAGAAGTATCATGTTGTCACTGCACACGTGTGAGAAATCTGCAGTCTCCTTGCATCAGTGAGGTTGCACCAAGCTGGAGCAAAACAACAACCTCAATATGCAACAAAATTCTTTGTCTCATATTAACCTCCACTTAGGGCTGCACAACTGGGACTCCAGCTTCGTTGGCTCCAGCCTGGCTGACTGTTTCTACCAGATCCAAGGATGTTCTATAGGCATTGTGTTGCCTGCACCACATGCTGCACAAAACTGATGGCATACTCTTCCAACTCTTTGCTCTTCTCAATTCAGTTGCTGTAAGTTGTGTGCATGCTGTTACAATGGCAGACTTGGCCTATGCTTGGGATCATAACTATCACTCCTGTGAGGGGAAGCAAACAGGTCTTTTGTTCCAATGTATGGTATGTTCCCAAGTGTGCCCTCAACTGGATGTGTTTTTGCTGTTACTGCAAGTTGTTTCAGGTTTTCCAGTTCTCATTGCTCACAACGGCATGAATGGTGTGGAAGATGGAAAGCCATGGAATGACGTCGTTGCTGGAATAGGCTACTCCTGGCAACTTCAAGAAGGAAAATGTGTGAAAGCTGACAGATGTCAACGTGTGTATGTGTCCTTATCAATTCAATACTACAGGCGATGGATTCAACGCAAGCTGGTAAGAAACTTCCCAGTCAAATGCAGGTCTTGGAAACTCTGCATCGTAGCATTTTCACCCAGAACATACCCTAAAAACTTGTTGATCACTATCCCTTGTTGTGTTTCTCTGCATGTCCTTGAGTGTACTGCAAGCAGTCTTGCCAGCACAAGTGCATCCACATGCACACAATCACCCAGTATACTTTTCTTTGCTTGGCCAGTTCAGCTAGTCATTGTTTTATTTCCATTGGACTCCCTGTTGCTGTGGGCTTTGCACCTATTTCAGATGCAGGTCATTGTTTCCCTGGAGCTGATTTGTGAGCTTGGCATCAGCCCCCCCACTCAATTGCCAGTAATGCTCACACATTAGTCTGATTGCTCAGCTACTCTTGGGATCTGCTTGTGTCCACTCCCCATGGAGGCACAACCCTTCAAAGACCAACAACCCAAGCACACCATGGCAACTGCCTACCTTGCCATTTCGCCATGCAGATGGGAGGTCACAGGAAATGCTGTGTCACCCAGCACACCACAGCCTTCATGCCTGTGTTTAGCAAGCAATCAAAACCAGGAAAAGGGAGAGTGGGGGGTTGACATTTAGGCATTCACTGCCTTGGGCCACACGCTACACAGTCACTGATACACTGGTTGGGATTCTCCCCCATTGTCCTCCACTGCTTGTCCCCATTCAGTCCATTGCTTGGAGCAAGGCCCCTTTTGCCTACATGCACCACAACACTGCCAGAGCATCCCTGCACCAACAACCACAAGGCCCTGTCTATAGGGGACTCATCACCCATTCCAAGATTCCCTCTCACCCCACCTCTGAATGGTCCGCTCCCTAAACCACCCTTGGGCCTGAGGTGCATCGGATGTGGCAGTTGCCAGCCCGCTGGCTACCATGGCACAGACCCTCCCACCCCCCACCCCCACCCCCACCCCCCCACCTCCTTTGACCGTTCTGTTGCTTGGTGGAAGCCCCCAGGCAAGGCAACTTCGACCTGCCTGTTGCGGATGTGAGCAATCGCATTCCCAGGCAACAGCAGATGGGCTGCCCACCTTCACCATTGGCAGGAACCACACTCATGCCCAAATGGCACGCACTAGGATGCGCTAGCATCTGGTGAAGTGCTCAACACCGTTCGTGCTTGAGTGGTTGGCTTTGCTCACTGCAGCATCCACTTCACTAGAAGAAGCAACAAATAACACTTTTTGTGAACACATATGAAATGCATTTCATCAACGTTCTGCATGCTAAAAACAACAAAGACAACCCAAACCCAGAAATTTTATACACGTTTGAAGACGTTTGGCCCTTTTCTTCCTAGTGCTTTGGGTGCTCCAATTTCCAACCATTATACAGAACATGTGGGCAGGGAGGAATGGCCAGCTGACCTGGATTGCCAGAAATGCATTTCCCCCTTCTACGGTGATCATTCCTGTTTTGAAAAATAGACACGTCCACATTTTGAAATTGATCATTATGGCTTTGGCCCACACCTTTGGAAACACCAGTTGCTCCAAATCCTTTCCAGAGACTGCAAACTTTGGCAGGATCACCTGCTGGCCAAGTTTCGCGGGGCAGAGGAATCTGCCAGAACTTGTTGTGCCTGCACAGTGGAATCCCAAAAGAGGGAGGCCCTCTGAGCATGCATTTAGGATGGTTGAGATGCAGCAAGTGTCAAGAATGTAAGAGGCCCTGAGGGGATTTGCATGGTGGTGTGGACCAACGTTACCTGAAACCACCATTTATATTGTACAAAAGGATGACCATCCACTGGGAGGGCATCTGTGGCACTGGAGCGATTGAAAGCAAAATGCCAATCTGCACATACTGGAGGCCATCCAGGGCATTGCAGAGTGGGTGGGCAATGATGGGCATGAGTGGAAAGAGCATGCATCCTATTGTTGTGATACATGGAAGCACAAGAGCCCATTGGAGTTGCATAACTTTGATAGGGGGTGTGTATGATGCAGTGGGCATGCATAGACATGCTGACAAACAGGCTCAGCTATGATATCCGTCTGCACATCTGCGCTTCTGAACGAAATTGCAATGGCATATGTGCACGAAATGATGTGCACGATCGCTTGTTCTGCTGGTCCTACATACTTGCGGAAGGAATGGCAAGCCTGTCCAGCTCTGATGGCAGCAACTCCCAGCTCTCCAGTACAGTGGCCTTTACTTCCACGTCACCTAGAATCTGTGAACTGTCCAGTGGCATGGATGTCGCAGCTGAATTAAGCGCAGTTTACAGATGCCTTTTGCATACAATGCAGTAACCTGGTGGAACTGCAGGTTGCTGCAAGCCCAACCCCTTTGAATTCAAGCATGGCACTACTGTTTGTGGATGCTCCCCATTGTTTTGAAAGATTGTAACGCCATTACCTTGGCTCGGCGCTTTATTGCCCACGGTTATGTTTCCATGCAGAATGGTGGAATTCTCAAGTGGTACTTTTCAGAGCCACCAGTGGGAACCGGAGTTTGCATTGTGGTGCTGGTGTCATGTGCACAATAATATGGTTACTAATACTGTTCTGCTTTTCCCTGTAGGAAAAGGACTCCTCTGCTGCAGGACAGGATGGTTTACTGTTTCCACTCAGTGCCAGTCTGGCATTAACTACTGTATCTGTGGCGGTTGCTTACTGGCTGTTATCTGCTGGAAGACATAGAAGAAAAGTAAGGGTGAGCTGAACCCACTGTTCAACAGCTTGGGGCGAATTGGCAGTTGTGAAACGCAGCTTCAGATTTCATTTCTGGCAATGTCGGATGCGTGTTCTTCAGAGCTGCTGCTTCTTTGGTAGTTTTGCGAAAAACTTCGTAGTATATCGTTTTCGCTCACAACTGTGCATAAATGCAAGTCATCCTGTATTAAATGTTGCATCGATTGAGTTTGGGGCATCAGAATGATTGCAGCCAGCCACTGAACACAGTGCAGTTCCCAATGGAGAACGGCTAGGTTGACAGTCCTCCTATTGGCGATTCGTTGCCATACCTCTATGGTATAATTAGTGTTTGCACAATCTGCAACAGGTGAGGGTGTCCGCTGCTCAGTTGGAGGCTCACCTGAGTGGCCTGCGATACAACCAGAAGATGATACGCTTCCTAGAAGAGCAATTGCAGAAAGTGGGTGGCTTGGAGAGACCAGAAGCTGCATCATCCAAAGACTGGACATCGTTTTGCCATCATCGTGAAAAAGCAGGCAGACTCGTGGATAAGCACAGAAAGCAGTTTGACATGAAGAAGTTTTACAGGAGCAAAGATGTTAAGCGCAGCGTGGAGAGGTTGTGCTCTGTCTGGAAAGAGTTGATTTTGGAATGGCAATTACCTGTGGTCATAGATGAAACAGTACCTGATCCCATTTTTTCCGAGGACCGAGAGTACTTGTACATGGTCCTTGCATATGTGCTCAAAGGCAGGCAGTTGGATTTCCGAGATGCTAGGCTACTGGAAGAGTGGGAGATTGTCAAACAGGAGCATGAGGTAGAACTCCAAAGGATGCAGCTGATTGAAGAGGCCGAGCTCAAGTTGGGAGAGAGAATTGGACGTGGTGGTGGTGGAGATGTGTACAGAGCTCAGTGGAACGGAGGTCGAGTGGCAGTCAAGCAGCAGATGAGACCCACAAGTGCGGAGTTGGGACTTGAGGACTTTGCAGATTTCTGGAAAGAGATATCCATTCAGGCTTCGCTGAATGACCCCCACGTCACTCCCATGTATGCGGCCACCAGGTCAGGCTGGCTGGTCATGGAACTGGCAGATGGCAATTTGATGAAGTTGTGCAAGCGGCACAGGGGGCAGTGGCCATGGTCCACAAAACTCAAGCTTGCAAAACAGGCTGCAGCGGCACTGCGGTATCTGCACAGCAGAACCCCTCCTGCAAACCACCGCGATGTGAAGAGCCAGAACTTCCTCGTTTTTGGCGGAGATCCCAAAGACTGCATATTGAAGATTGCCGATTTTGGGCTCACAGACTTTGTTAGGCACACGCGCAGCTCCTTGACCACGACGCAGCCAGGAGGGACACTTGAATGGCAAGCTCCAGAGCCCTGCAACGACTTGCCCATCACCTTGGCCTCTGACATCTTCAGTCTCGGAGTGGTGATGTTCGAGATAGTCACAGGGTGCCACCCTTACGCTACTGAGGCAGGTGACTATAGCACACCGTTTGCGGTCATGAAAATGAAACTGGGAGAAAGAGATCCTTGTCCTAGCTCGCCAAGGGACTGCCCTTCGGCGATGCTGGCATTGATGAGAAGGTGCATTGCTGTGAACACTAAGAGCAGGCCTGACAGCAGGGCTCTGTGCAGTGCACTTGACGAATTGCCAGATGATTGGGTTTATGAATGCTAGGACGATGGTCAGTAGTGTGTCTTTTGTGATGCGTATTTGGTTGTTATCTGCAGCATTGTGGACATGAGGATTGGCAACTTGTGGTTGTGTTGTGCGTGGTACTTGCAATTGGTTTGACAGGATAATCGAGACCTGCAGTCTTGTCCCAACTAGAATCCTGTCCGCCATCTATGCAAGGGATGCCTGTCAAATGAGATGCTCCCGTGGGCTGCCCAGCAAATCCTACGCTTGTTGTTGGTGGCCAACAATAAGCCATGACTCGTTAAATATTGCCGATATCAAAGATGACCTACCGTTTCTTATCACCGATCGTCACAACAATTATTAGTTTTTTGAATTCTGTGCAGCGCGGCGTGGGAAGCGCTCACGGTTCATACAAACAGGTGACAACAAAAATGAACACATTTGTGCTGAAAGAGGCTTTTCTGTTTCATGCAGCATGTGCAATCGCACACCAGCAATGGACAGTACTGTCGCTGTCATTTCTTTCCAAACGGGAAAGGGATGGTCTCATGAGGAGCCAAAACCTACATGTCAAAGCCCTGGAGTGCCATGTGCACAAACCTCTGTGTAACTCTGCGCGCGTGCGTGCTGTTATTACTGGATAAAAATGACGCCAAAAATGTGGTTGGATTTCGCGGTGTACCCATTATTACCGGTTGTCGGAAATTATAAGCCTCAATGCAGCAACAAAACTGCGGGAAATGTGCCTTTTTTAAAAATTGAAAGCATCGAATTCCTGACGCATTTACCTGTAAATGCCTTCCAGTTTCCCAATGATTGACGTAGGAAAAACTTGGAGCCACACACCTAGCCTGTTCTGACGCCGACAGGAGGGGTAGATTGGAACATCAATAATGTGGGACCGTTTGTTCAGGTCGACGTCCCTTGATGTCGACGTTGGCTTGACATTTGCATATCTTTATGGTTGCCAGCCAACGCGTCCTGAAATATTGCCCACCTCTCCTTCGGTCTGGTGGTCTCCTGCCTGTGCCGGTTTATGTAGTAAACCTGGATTGCAGGTTCGTGATACCGGAGACATGCTCAGCAGCATTTACTTCGAGGGCTAGTTGACCATGAAAATGCGCTAACATTGAAATAAAAATAGAAGCAGAGCTCAGCACCTAGTGTCACTGACATACAGTGGAAGCAAAGGCATCAACTGGCAACATAAGTCAAGATGAAACATACGCCTATCAAGAAAGATCTTGGTGCCTCCTCCCTTGCACACACGCTCATCGCCCCTCTTCTCTTAGTGGGGCTTAAAAACCTTTGCGTTAATAAGACTCATGATACAGTATGTGTACCCCGGCTTTAATAAAACTCGTGATACAGTACATATACCCCGGTAATATAGCATCCATCCCCTGATAGCCCAGCCTCCCCACCCCACCCCACCCCCATCTCCTGTCTTGGGTTTCCAAACCGCGCTAGTATCCGTGACCTCGCTTCAGTATCCATGTCAAGTACAGGGCAATGTGGCACCGCCATGAGAGGCAGCTGATGACTGGCCCGCTGGAGCTTAATGATACGCCTCGCAACGTTTTAATCTCGCTCATTGATGGGAAAGCGGCCGCAACTTGGTCTTATATGCCTGAGAGGCAGATAGGAACATGAGCGACGGGCAGATCGAACATGGAGCTGGCGTCTCACGGGAACGGCGACTTCGCAGCCAGGCCAGAGGGCGCTTGGGGAGTGGCGGGCAGCAATGAGGCTCGATTTCTTTTTGGCGAATCAGGAATGGGAGTCAAACGCAAGGATCCGCGGCTGTGCTTGGGAACATCATTTGTATGACATTTGCCGCCCCGCCTGGTGCGGTCGTGAAGGCTGGATAGTATGGAACTCTCCTGTGCTCCAAGCTTAAAAATTTTTGGTGGCGCTGGTGTTGTCAATAATAGTACTAATTTTTCAAAATTGCGAAATGCCATTTATGTAGCAGAGAAATGGCCATTTTCGCACTACTAAGTTAATCTCTTTTTTCCGTCAGCTTTTCATGCAGAATGAACAATCAAAGTTTCTGGCCAATTTACAATTTCTCTGGACTACTTTTCAATATTCTCTTTGCCCACTGTTTGGATAAAGTGCCAAACCTATGATGGTACCACATGACCCATTTTAACTATCAATAGAATCGTTTTGCTTTCTCTGACAGGTTCTTATCTACGAATGCTAACACCGGGTAACCACGGCAACGCCATTATCACATAATAATGATGCCCATATGCACAGCCCCCACCCTACTGACAAGAGTGCATTGGAGGGGTAAGATTGCATTGGAGAACAGCGTTCTCAGAGAGCACTGCGAACATTGAGAATCTGTCGTAGCTCTCCGCGCACAGAAGCGCCTAATTGCCAATTTGCGTTGTGCTTTCCCTAACAAGCAAGTGAAAACCAAAAGTCTAGATGAGCAGAGCCTTCGCTCTGCAGAAGAATTTAGCTGCAGCTGTGTGCAGGATACAAATATATCCAGTCATCCACGACAAATATTACATTCCGCGCACCGTCCCTCAGGTGTCGGAGTGGTCACTACCTACGTATGCTTCAGGTGGGGATGATAGGAGAGACGACTAAAACATTGTGGCCACATTGTTTTAGTCGTTTGCCCTATCATCCCGGCGTGAGGCATAAGTAGAAGCCATGGGTTCTGTTTGTAATATTTGTTGTCTGAAATGTGGCTGCCAAGAAGTCTCTACGTTTCATCCAAGGGGTGCGTGGCACATTGTCTTACTTCTTTTCGCAAGACCAAAGATACGTGGTGCAGCTGGCCCTTGCGTCCACGTTAACGCCAGGTGATCCACTGGGTCTTCTGTTCATATGCTGCTCAAAATATGTGCGAACGAGGAACACAATTTGAAATTATCGTGCCAGTTGCCCAGATTTACTGCTTGCCATTCCACCTGGCATTGCGTTAGATTGTGCCGGACCAAGGCAGATGGCCAATGTTGATGAATTCGCAATTTCTCAAATCTCCAGCTCCACCGGCTCCCGCACCCCGAGACCAGACCAACCTTGTTATTCACGCTAAGTTTGCGCTCTACGCGTATAAGCGTAAACACACTCAAGCAGGTATATAGCCAAGATATATCTTGGCGGCTGTACTTACGCACTTTTACGGCGCTTTGGGACACCCAGGTTGCATGATGAAATCGCATACAATGATAAGCCCTCCGTCCCCTCAAGCATGCGCAGCACAACCTACCCTTCGCCCTCGTCAAGGGCAACGATGTCGTCGAACAAAAGTTTAGTTTCTCCTCTCTCCACCGCGCCTGGGTGCCGGTCCCCGGACTCCCTGAGTCTGTATGTACTGTCTGTATGTACATGGCGTTTGCATTTCCGTATTTGTCCGCATGTTTACGCTCAGAAATGTGGGTACTATTTTTACGTACAAAAGCGCAAACACACCATCTGCGTTGACGCCGCAAATAACAAGCCTGGGAAAGACAATCCATGCAGATTCCACAACAGCTTATAAACTTAAGCAAGTACTCACCCTTCCACGGAAACGGCCAATTAGGACGAATCTTGTTGAGGCATGAACTAGCTTCTTCATCTTAGTCTGACTCTTTAGCCACCTTTTCGGCATTCTCAAACAAAGGTCCATTGGCCATGGCCCATATTCAAGTATTTTTCCTCTTTGCATTTCATAATTTCTCTCGCTTTGCTTTTCACAATTCATGCAGTGGTGGCTTACTTAGCCCATCCCGTGCAATGGCAGCCCGCTTGTCCATCGTTTGATTCGATCGGAAGCGTCACGTATTGAGTTTTTTCCCCAGCCACAGCTACTTCCACGCTTGAGAACTACGGATGGATTTAAGTAAAAATATCCAATCATACGCGTATTTTTGCATAATTTTAAAATACGCGTATTTAAATATGAATTGAAAACAAATTAAATTGTTAAATGCCCATAAGTTGTCCAACTAATGAATGGGATCTGCCATTTGCATCCCACGAACGCGCGGCCTGCACGCCATATGGCATCTCATGCATGAGGGAGATGGGTGCGCTGCGGAAGCAGCTGGGAGTGACCAGCGATGCTGAAGGTCCCCTGCTGCTGATATAGTTGCTAATGTAGAGGCAGTGTGTGGGGACGATATGGATGGGTTGGAAAATGATGCTGACTGATAAGTTTTGTTACCAATGGATGCTCACTGATTGAATTTCTGGTTTCGTTGGGGCTTCAATTGCAAAGTTTCCAGTATTTTTAGACAGGCTTGGTTTTTACGTCTACGTTTCTACTTTTATGTTTTTACGCATGAAAAACGTAAATTTGCAAAAGGGCCCATTTTGCGGCTATTTTTACGTTTTCACGGCTGCATGGCACACGCAGGTTACGCGATGAAAGTTGCGTACAATGATCAGTTCTCCTCCATCTCCAAGACCCACAACATAATGTCCACCTCGCCGTTGGTAAGGGCGATAATGGCGTCTAACAAAAACTCGTTTTCTGCCTCTTTTTAAGGCGTCTGGCTGCCACTCTCCGGACTCTGCAAGTCTGTATGTACTGTCCTTATGTACACGAGGCAGTTTTTACGTTGTATTTACGTATTTTTACCCATTTTTACGCGTAAAAACGAAATAACTATTTTTATGCATAAAACCATAAATACAATCAATTTTGACGTCGTAAAAACCAAGCCTGTTTTAGACGTACATTTGGGCCCAAACCAAAAAACACGCGATAATGCACGTACTTTACCGTGTTGTTATTGTAGGCCGTATCTCTATTGCCCAAGCCTGGCTACTTCCAGACACGCTTTATCTCGATTCCGGTTTTGCGCGAATATCTGACGATTGGGGGCCTCGCACAACACCCCTTCTGGATCTCAGCGACACATGTGGCGATTTTCTGAGTACCCCGGCTGAACCATGTACCTTGGTGATTGGCCACGTCATGATAACAGAATTATGGGAGAGTCTATATGGGTTGGGATATTCTGTAGTTGATTGTGAAGGCTGTAGGTTGTGCCCTGCCCGTACAACAATGAAGCAACAGTGTCGAGGATGCGCGCTGCCCTATGAGAGTATCCCATGAAGAATAGTGCCGCCAAACACCCTTCAACCGGAAGCCTGGATGACGAAAGATGACCCCTCGTGAGCATATGCTGAAGATTTGATGACGTATCCCCCTGTACGATTGCTGCCGGATGCCAGGAGGACGAGCTGGACCGCTGAGGAGGCAACCGGCCAATGGAGGGCGTGATCAACCTTGGATATGAGGTGGGAAGTCTGGAGAGGTGTCACACCGCGAGCTGCGCCCCAACGTGGAGACTCAGAGCTGGTACCTTGGATAATTGACGGATGTAATAGAGTTCTGGGCGGTTAAGGCGATCCCGCGGCTTAGGCAGGGAAAGGATACCATGGGTAACGCACCCCGTGGCTTAGGCATGGTAAGGATACCGTGGGTAACGGGCCCCGCGGCCTAAGAAGGGTAAGGATACCATGGGTAATGCAGCCAACGGGTTAGGACGGGTAAGATACCATGGGTAACGGACCCCGCGACTCAGGCAGGGTAAGGAACCTTGGGTAACGCAGGTTAGTACTTAGACCGGAGCGGCCAGTGCATTGAGGCGTGGGAAGCATACCAAGGGTAAAAGGTACATTCGTACCGGGTATGGAATTGACGGGACCTTTCAGGGGACCTTGGTAACGGTGCCGCGCCAGCGGCTCGGTTATTTAAAGACACACAGCTTCACTTGTAACGAACACGCGAACCTTGGGCCCACCTCGCTGTTCTGTGAGTGACTTGCGGGGATTGTGCCCCGCCGATCTGTGAACATGCCGCGCTGACAGACGCCCATTGTGGGTGCACATTGCCGTCGAGTTCAGCTCGAGCGGGCGAGCGTCTATTTCGTGCGTTACCGGTTCATTGCCGGAAGACTCGCCCATCTGGACGCCATTTCTGCGGTGGTTCGAGGCTCGACGCCACAACACACGTGTAGTGTGGCGTGCAGATGCGGGGCATTTGATGCTCCACCTTCCATGTGGCAGCCAGCCCAGATCTGAAGGATATTGTTGCCTCCGTTCTCGTCGCTGTCGCGAAGCCGATAACCTGGAAGGGAGGGCAGAGGCCGCTGCACACACCTGAGCGCACCTTTTGACTGGAGCGCCTGGGAAACGCCCTTTCTGTCGCACCGAGTGCAAAGGTGCGCGGCGCACTGTGTCTCGCTTCGGCCATTGGCATGGTTTGCCCTTGGCTGTTGGCAGTCGTTGCCTGTCGTTACACGTCATTGGCTTGGTTGGTGGCGACTGCGCACGCAAAGTGAGTGTCGCACGTCGCAGTGGCTGTACCGAGATCTCGTCGTGTACTCTGCCGTCTGTTCTCAGGATGGCTGCCCTTGTCGCCCTCGACTCGGGTTCGACTCGGGTCTGCCGCGTGAAGCGAAGCTGGAAAGACCGCACAGTCCAGCAAGGTCAACCTTGCAAACCGTCCAGTGGACGTGAACGGGCGACATTTTGTACGGTATATTGCGAGTGGCGCAGATTCGATCAGGACAGTAGTCAACATCCAACCGGATTGTGAACTCGCATCTGCGGGTGGCAATCCCTGATTGAGGAACGTGGCTGCTTCGGAAGAAGAGGAGCATTTCCAGACCATCCAGTAAAGGCCACGCTGTAACCGCAACACAAGCACACAGTGCTATGAACCGCTATTGCTGATATGTTAGGGGAAGTCTTTCAATCGAATGTTCCATAGGTTGTCTGGAGCCCTTCTACGACATGTTGTAGCAGGTACAAAGCTGTCCAAAGGCCCACTTTTTGCCCTTCATTGTGGACCCGTTTTGCTCATATGTGGCTGCGTGTGTCACTGGCTGTATGCATTGCTGTCCCAGCGATGTGGACCAGGTTGTAGGGAGACCACCCCCGTGTGACTGATCCACAGCATCTTCAACGGCTGAGCAAGACCATTCAACTATTGCATACTGCCGTGTGCAGAAATTTCTATATCTGCTCGCACAGCTGTCTTCCCTGAAGTTGAGAGCTTCAATCCGAGCGTGGTAAAAGGTTTCAAGAGCATCATAACTGCTGTGTGCAAAATGCTGTCGATTCACACTTCGGAGATCTGCCATGGGGAATTGCTGCCACATGCTTTGGACAAGATCGGCATAGTCACCCAGTAATTGGCATGTATGGCGTTTCAATGCCGCAGCAGTGTCTTGCAAAGATTTTGCTTTCCACCAAAGCGGAGTTCCAAGTGAATGCTGCAGCTGGATTCTGAATGTCCAGATTCCGGGAAACTTCACAACCACCTTGCCTTGACAATGTGCAGCATTATGCACCAGTGCTGTGGTATTGGGTTGCATCCCCCACTGTATGCAAAGCCAAGTCATAAAGTGATTTGTGCACCTATTCAGGATCCAGCACAGGAAGATCTCCAGGAAGCCGATTCATGGACCTAGACAAGCTGCAAGACTCTCCAAACGTACGACCAAAGAAAACTTCATCTCATCAGGCCGTGTTCATGGCAGTGGGTCATGATTATGTCAACTGCATGTAGTAGTTGCCGGCTGAAGGCCTCCCCAGAAGATGTGTTGTTAGTTGTTGCTGTGTTGTGGAGCCAGTGGGCAGGTGCTTAAATTGCGAAAGTAGTGTGTTTGAATGGGTACAGACATCCACATGGTACTTTTCGGTTAGCTCCACACATCTTGTTGCAGAAAGGATTGGAACAACATACCACATCTGTGTTGCAGGGTATTGCTGCAGACACTGTTGCATTCAGCTGTCATTCCACCATTGTACACTCCTTACAGTGCAGCTGTTTGTGACTTCACTTATTAGGCAATAGTGGCATTATACAGACGTGGTCATGAAACTGTTGCTTTGGGGACAATTGCCTATGCTGCACAGTCCTTGGTGGCATACATGCTTGCAAATGGACAACAGTTGCAAGTAATTCTCATCAATGGATGCTGTTGACAGCAGGCATGCTGTGCAATATCACTGTGGTTGTAGTGCCCAGCTTTACCTAAATGTATGCACACATGCGTACACACGCATGATGTGCTACAAAGGTGCAGTTGCTGGATCAGGAGGCGCAAAACACACAAAGTTTCCAATTACGGGATCGGATCAATTAGATCTGGCGAATCGCACAGAGGTTTTGACTGGTGCCTGTTTGTGACAGTGGTCAGTGGTGTCATTGTCCAGCAGTTGCCAGTGGTGGTAGCTGCCTGAGTGGCCTGCAAATAGGGTACACCGTTCCCCTGTGAGCAAATCCATAAAGTGGTCACCTGCCCCAAAGATTGGGTACACATAACATGACTGGTGAGGAAGCCAAAGCCTGTGTGAATCCAGTGTCGAAGTCAGAAGTCACTGTCTTGTTAGCAATGCCATCTGTGTGCTACTGAAAATGTAATTCGGTCATTATTGGCCACCAGGTATCTCAGGAAATTGATATGGAAATCCCAAGGATGCCCTCATTGTTGGGTGCCTTCTTTAGTGCGCACACTGAATCAGATTCTGAGGGTTGTGATACTGTGAATGCCAGTTTGCTGTTTGGAGTGGAGTTTGTACAGAGCATCCAAGTTTATCGCAGAACTGGCCAGGATCCAAGTGTTGCAACTGCGCCCCTTGGAGAAATGCTGTGTGGATTGTGGTGCTGTTGCCATGTACACATGAACAACAGCTTAGTTATTAGTTGCTGTGCTGCTCTTGCTGCAGAAACAGCAGACACATGTCACTAGAAATGTGAACATATATGTTGCGGTGTTTGGAACATTGGGTTCAATAGCTTTGACAGCTCTGGCTGTGACATTACTGAGTGCTGCTCACTGGCGGAGGACTGCTAAAAGGCTTGGGAGCAAAAGAAAGGCGAGACATATCCAATGGCTATCTTGGGTTGTACTTGCAGTCATGAGAATGCAGCATAGGATTGTGTTGTGTTGTGCTGATGCCTTGAATGCACTTTGCAATGATGATGCATTTCCTGCTGCAGTTTGTGAAGGTCTCGCTGGGGTGAGTGGAGTGGGGCTTTGGCAGCCGGCCGGCAACCACCACAATATTGTAGGTGGTATGGCTCCTCAGCGGGGATGCATGGTCTGGCGATTCTAGTGCTGCCAGCATTGCCGCACAGCCAATGCCTCAGTACCAGTAAAACTTCAACTGGATTGAGAGTTTGATGTCCCTGTTTGGAGAAGCTTCCATTGCTGGGTACAATTCCTATCCTGTTCTGATTGTGCATTTGGCGTGGTTTCCTGCCAAATTGCGTTTTTCCGCACTTGCACATGCGCATGGTTTTGGGCTCATAGGACAAATCCACTGCTTGAGAATTCTTAAGTTCACTGGTGACCCAAAAGCTGTTTGTTACACCTGATGCATTGCCCACCGGCACTCCGCATCCATGTTTTGGTTGAACACATCAAATGTGTTGAGCTTCGTAAGAATTGATGGTCATTCTTGTTCACACTTCACAGAGCTGCACTGAATCCACTTCGATGGAAGGACAGCAGGGAGAAAATTCCCATGGAGGGAGCTCCCAGGTGGGCAGCTTGTGGCACCCTTCGCAAGCCGGTGTGCGACCTGAAGCAGTTGAGGGTCCCAGTTTGATCCAACTTTTACATAGGATTGAATATTCTGCAGTATGGCCTGTACTTTAGGGGACTATCCATCACCAGCGGCATACCCATCCACACCACTGGCCGTCACACCACTTTTTGGGAACAATTGGCACCGTGCTAGTACTTTACGTCACTTTGTTCACCATTGTTCTGAAAGTGTGCTTCACTGTGGGGCAAGTGTAATTTGTGGATTTACACAATCTCATTCCACTGCCACTGTGACCTCTGGCTCCCATTGTGAGCAATTGAAGAGGTATTGCAGAGAGGGCGTGAACATTAACACGAATTGCCACTTTTGCTGCTCTAATCATACTGCTTTCCATTTTTGCCTGTGTATTGTGGACAGTGGGAGTGGGTTGCACATCGCACAGGGTGTTTTTTTGCGAATTGTAGTTGATATCCTGTCACGTACCACTGTCAGAGACCCAGAAGCGTGTGTTACTATTGCCCAGTTGCTTTTTCAATGGACCCTTGCTGTTAGGCTTGGATGCTCTCCAATGCGATTGCTAATGGCATGAATATCTACTGATTGATCAGCCAAGTTGCAGCCCATTCTTCGTCACATTCATTTCAGCAGCAATTTTTTATCCGTTGCAAAACTGTGTCGGCATCATGCGCCCGCCCTGCATGGCACACAAACAAGCAGTACGGCTAGCCTTGTTGCTTTGGTTGTGGACATTCCGTTTCCTTGCATGACTGCGTCTTGGGTGTTGTGTCATAAGAGTGAGGAGTGTTCATGTGCGCGGGCATATTGGCCTATACATGCATCACTTGAGAGTTAGGTTCGAGAATATGGATGCATTTGGACATCAGCTAGCACAAGACAGAGTGCTGGTGCTGATGCCCCTTGCAGTCTGATTTGTAATATTAACAACGAATCATGGTGGTGGTGAGAGACAGTTGGGAATCTGGTGCAGCAGGAATGCGAAATGCTGCAAGACTGGGAATGCCTATTTCCTCAGATATTGGATATGGTGAAGGAGCACATCGTAGGTGATGACAGGAATGTGTTCCTCCGGCGTGCACGCCGGGTAAACTGCCAATGGTGCCAGTGGGCTACACCTTTCATCACCAGCCTGGATCTCACAGCTAATGGAAACTTCAAGAACAGAGTCAAACGCCTGCGTGGGTGTTTCTCTGCAGTGGAAAGTATTTCTATTGAAGGTGCAACAAGTGCCGATTTCCAGCTGCTGGTAGGCTCATTCTGCCTGAAGCATCTGAAGGTTCACTTTTGCCCTGGCAATGGGGTGCACAGGGCCATGGCAGATGTGCTGGCAATGACAACTTTGGTTAGCCTAGAGCTGGTGCCAGCGCATGGGCTCACCGATTCGGGAGTGCACAAGTTGGCCACCTTGACGTCGCTCACCGAACTCACCCTGGGCGGTGGCAATGAGGTTACAGATGAGGGCATTGCCAACCTGGTGCTACTCCAGACCCTAGCCGAGCTCAGTTTCGATGGAGGTGACGACCAGAAAAACCGCAGCACCCATGCGGTCTCCAGTGCGGGCCTGGCAAACTTGGCGTTGATGCCCAGATTGGTGAGGCTCGTGTTGAAGCGATGCAATGTTTCTGCAGAGTGGCTGCGGACAATGACACAGATTGTGGCACTTGATATTGAGCTCTGCCGTTTGACAATGAGAAGGAATACGGACCCCTTCAGCAATTTGACAAATCTTGCCGAGTTGCATCTGGCAGTGTATGACAGGGAAACGCTGGATCTGGAGGGCCTCGCTTCCATCCCTTTTCTCTCCCTGGCCTATTTCCCTGAGCTGCGAGCCAACCAAAGCATGCAGCTAGGTCAACTCCCAGGGCTGCGTAAACTAGGGCTGTTTCTGTTTGGAATTATGTCCAGAGAGCAGGCTGAGATTGTGGGACAGCTGACGGACTTGGTAGATATGCGTCTCCATGGGCATCAACACCTCCCCGGTTTTGACAACCTCATTGGTCTTTCCGCCTTAACAGCTTTAACTTCCTTCTCATCCAACATCAGGGGAAAAGGGTTACAGTGCCTGCGTGACATGACAGCACTGAAGAAGGTGGACCTTCAGATGTGTACACGCCTATCAAATGAGGATGTGTACTTGCTGTCGGGACTCCCATGCCTTGCGCACTTGAACTTGAGTGGATGCACAGCAATCACGGATTCTGGTGTAAGGAAGCTCGAACAGCTTACGTCTTTGACGGAATTAAATCTGGCACACTGCATTGAAATCACGGATGGAGCCATTGGCCCGTTGGGCAGGTTGCCTGCGCTAGCCGTTCTAGATTTAACAGGTTGTTGTGGGATCACGGATGTGGGTTTGATGAATTTGGAGCCTGCGAGGTTCCTCAGGCGCCTCATCTTGGCTGATTGCCCTCTGGTGACACTCAGCGCCGGGGACGTGCTGCAGAACAGGAACTAGGACCTGACTGGGCCCTGCTTTCAGGGCTAAAGTAGCGGTTGGGCAGGGCTTCCAAGTGTGATGCCAACCCGGCTTTGCTCTTTGGTAGAGCGAATGGCATCTGACGAAGTTTCCATCACCTGAAGCTGTCCTATAAAATTTGGCAGTAACTGAGACGATCTCTACTGGTGCGTGTTTGGCACTTGTTGTCTCCTTGGTGAAGATGTGGACAGTCCTGGCAGATTCCTTGAGTGCTGGAGCAGCAGTTCAGGTTGGCAGCGTGGACCACATTTCAGGAGGTTTCCCAGTGGCTTATCGTAGTCGTGTTGCATGTGTGCGAACCCTATCGCTTTTGAGACCAAAGAACGATGTTGCCCGAGGAATACATCGACTAAAGTTGTATAGTTGCACATTGACGGCATGGATGTGAAGCGGCCCCCCTCATGTTCGCATGGACAAGCCTGATATTTACGTTTGCGTTTTCGCGTCGTCGTCTTGGCTGCTGTATTTACGCTTGTATGGCTAGTTGGAAAACGCAAGTTACATAGTGAAAGTCGTGTACAGTGATCAGTACTCCCCCCCCCCCCCTAGAGCACCCACAACAACGCTTCCACCTCGCACTTGGCAGGTGAGCAATATTTCGTTCTCTGCCCATTCTAGTGCGTCTGGCTACCGCTCCCCGGACTCCGCGTGTCTGTATGTACTGTCTTTATGTACACAAGGGTATATTCACGCTGTATTTGCGTATTTTGACGTCTGTTCACACGTAAAAGCGTAAACATAGTACTGCGAAGTATGATCAGTTTCCACGGCGTAAACATCAAGCCTGAGCGTTGATCAGCACCAATTCAGGTCGGGCCTCTCACATTCGAATGGCCTTCGCGCCGCACAGCAAACTTTCAACGGATAGTACTTCCCTCGTCTCAGTGTTCGTGAGGGGCGAGAGCGACACACAGCACTGTAGACAGCAGCGATACCTTCACACTGTAGATTTCATTCTATGTACTTCAGTAGAAGTACTCTATGAAGCATTCTATGACGCAATATTGGATGAATATAAACTAGCTTCGTATTCATTCAGCTCTGCGTAAAGACGCTCACCAGTCTGCATGCCGCATCCAACGCCTCTCAAAAGATGGCCCATGGCAGCCCATGGACTGAGCCTTTTGAGTGGTTTAGCAGTTCATGGAGGCGTCGCTACCAAGGCTGCAGATGTGAAGCAATCTTCGTCCATGTGTTCCCCCATGTGATGGTCATGGCAACGAGGGTTTTGGCTGAGTGTTGTATGGGTGGCCGTCGAAGGCAAGCCCCAATCATCTGAGCTTTTGATTAATTGAAATAGTGATAGCGTCCTACAGTTGCAGCGCAGGCCACTGGAGATGCTAACATTGCACACATCTATAGCGCCCTCGACTCAACGTGGCCATGTGCGTTATGGTATACCATGACACAACATAGACAAAATTAGATGTGACTGGATGACCGGCCCTGCACGCAACACCATGGAGGAGGCTGCTGCCACCTGCAGAAGGCAATGCGTGAAGAACAAAGTGACGGAAGGCAGAAAGAAATAATTCGAAGTGCAGCACAACGTGGGGGTTCTCATGGGGTGTCGAATCTTGTAATCAGCGCACTGTTTCCTTTTCCCAGACCGCTGCACTGCCGCAACTCCGAGGGTCTATCATTGTGCAAAACAGCCTTCAGCTTAGATTGACATCTAAAAGCCCTAGCATCCATTTGCAAAAGCGTCCCAATAATTCCTTTCTTGGTTCTGAGGAAGTCATCACCCAAGTCCCTGGTATTCATTTTGTCTACATTTTTGTGCTCTGGGAGTCCAAATCTGCTTGCCACAGCTGTTCGTTACAGGGTGTGCCCAGTAACAGCGATTGTAAGCTCCGACTACTGCGCATCACTATACGCACGTTGATAATCGCCAGGGTGTATGCATTGAAGTTGCGAGGCGAAGTGCAGTATTGCCTATTTGAGCACAGCCCTATTATAACATTCCAAACATTTACAACAATCTGTTCTTGGCAAGCATCTCGCCCTCCCAGGGGGCTGATGGTATTGGAAAAAAACTGACACTTTAAAATTCTTTGCCCACATTGACGGCAACTCAATTCCGGAGAATTAAATCCGTCGCTGGTCATCCTTTCCGAGTTGCGGCAACTCTTCTAGAGGAAACAGACCTCTCGTGTCTAAGCCCTCTCGCGCCTTCACAGAATATAGATGATTAAATGCTTTTTGGCCCGTTTTCCCTGGTGTGTATGCGTTAGTAGCCACAAGGCAGACTATTCACGGTGTCATGTTCAGTTCACAGCAAAACGGCATGCATTACAAGCCATCTTTGCAAAAATGGTGACCGACAATTGGTTGCATATGCTGGAACGAAAGAAAGATGTTTTACAGCTGAAAAAAAAGCAAAGTGCAGTGTGAAGGAAAAACGTGTGCATCCCGTTATTCAACTTGGGATACATGTTAAAAGCACATTTTTGCACTCAGGGCCAATAGTTTAGCAATAGTACATACTTGAAGCAAGGAAAATGAATAACATGCACCGTTCCGGTATGGCAACACCCCGCAGCACCCGTACAAGCCGCGGAGATTCAGTGTTACACCAATGGCTAACCAGGCCGTGGACCACACTCCGGTTACACCAGGACATGCTGTGTGACCTGGTAGGGTGACCGTCGAGCGCAGACCGGGCGGAGTGAGGCCAAGCGGGGTGGAGAGAGGAATCTGCAGGGGCTGAGGCGGGGCGGAAGCGGGCGGACCCCGGTGTGAGGGATTAGAGGGACCAGCGGCAGCAGTGCTGTGTAGCGGGGTAGTTAGGGTAGGTAATGGCCAGTGTGAGAAGTACCGGGCTGATGGTGTAATTCGTCCGCGGGGACAGACCGGGAAGAGAGAGAGGCGGAAAGACCCCAGCGCGGGTATAAAGGGGTTGTTGTGAGTTTGGGACGCTACCCTTTGTCGGGCAAAAGCCCTGTAACGAGCACCGGTCAACAGGTACTTTGTTGCCTCTTTGTTGCCGACTTGTGAGTATGTGTTTCGGTCTGCGGATACCGGCGACCTATGCAGCTGCCCTGTGTGCACAGACTGTGCATGCCGGATGGGAGTTAACGTCTTGGTTGCTGGGGATTCACCGAAGGTCAGCTCTGTCTGACCGGCAATAGAAGGTAAATAAGGCTGTGTATAGTTACACATGACAAAGGGCAGGGTCAGCAACTGCCAAAGGTCTACCCGAATGCAGAGTGCGAATTGCTACATGTAGGTTGTAACCTAAAGTACATATATGTAATTTGGGCTGTGTTTAGCTAAGTGTGCATGGGAACTGTGTGGTAGGTGCTTACATAAAAGAATGCTGCATATTTCTATGGTGGAAAGTCCTTGGAAGGTTTCTGATTGTGGAGCTGGAGTGTGTGAGTGTCGAACTGGTCCATCCCGGTCTGAGTTACTTGCACTGACAGATTTGTGGTGTGGATGTTGGGTAGTTTCCAAATATATGTTTAATATTATAGTAAAACTATATTTATGTGGCGTTTGGTACAAGAGGAAAGCTGGTCAGGGGCTGGCATGCCCTGATGTGTGTGACTAACTAACGCCGGCGCATTGAGTATGTGAATGAAACCATCCTTGGTGCAGCATCTCGTGTGTTCCGAGGGCAGCAGTTTTCTGTCCAGTTTTACACTAACCACCACAAAGTACTACTGCGAACATGGTGGAAAGTGTTCTCCTGCCTTTTAATAAATCACAAGCACAGCCAGTGCACGGGAGTACTGGAAAGAACACGCTGCTATCTTTGTTGGTCAAGCACGTGGAGTACAACCGCTGCAAATACATTAAATAGCCGTCTTTATATCCTGATGTGACCAGTCCATCTC